GGCTAAAGGACATCCGCGGCCGATCATATGCCTTCTTGAATCAGCTCGACGAGGCAACGTGTTATCAGGCGCTCACTCACTTGAAGGACAGGTCCGAGACGGAAGTGATCAGTGCCCTCCTGAACGGATGGTTCGCCTTCTTCGGCATGCCTGATGAGGTGGTACTCGACTCCGACGGCGCCTTCCGTGGACTAAGGTTCGAAAGTTTGCAAGCCCAATGCGACATCAAAATCCGCTATGTGCCGGCAGATGCCCATTACCAGATGGGCAGAGTGGAGCGGCGTGGCATGAGCATCAAGTACATCGTTCAACGACTTGTGAGTCAGTTCTCGCCGTGCAACGCGTCTGAGCTGTGCATGCTGACAGCCATGGCCACCAATGCCAAGAACAATCTGCTGAGACGTTCGGGAAGCACACCAGCACAATGGGTGTACGGCCGTGCCCACAAACTGCCCGGGGCTTTGTTATCATCCGGAGGAACTCTGGAATCATGCCAATTGGCCAATGATTCCGACGCGCTCAGACGCATCGAAGCTATTCGGGCCGAGGCAATGTCGTTGTTCCACAAGTTCGAATACGACAGCTCCTTACGAGCCGCCCTTCTTCGCAAGCCTCGGCCGTACCGAGGCCCTTTCCATGTCGGACAGAAGATAGCCTATCACCGCACCAAGAACTCAATGGATGGCGAGGGCATCCTCGAGGGCTACCGTCAAGGACTGGTCATTGCTGAAGACGGCCAGAGTCTGTGGGTCCGCAACAACCGCGGCCGCTTGGTACTGGTCTCCAAAGAGCAGTGCCGCGATGTTTGTGGCGAGGAGGAATGGTGGCAACCGGATCAAGCTGATCTTGACCTGCTTAAAAACTGTGACCAGGATCTCGCCCGCAAACATGCGCTGGCTTTTCAACCTCCTTTGCGACCACCCACACCTGCCGGAGATGAGCGGGTGCTCGATGAGTTAGCTGCGGCGCCCGATGCCTTACCGCCGCACCCTGCCGAGCCCGAGATTCCTGCGCTTCCTCCGCTTGATGCTGCGGGGCAACCAGTGCTGACTGACACCGCAGCACCTCTTGTGGCTCCGTTGATGATCGTGCCGCCGACGCCGAGGGGAGGAAGGTCGCCGGGAACACCTAGGCCCAGCACCCCGTCGAGAACATCCTCAAGAGCAAGGAGCACTACCCCACGCCGGTCCCTGAGACCCCTTGCTCCAGTCCCCGAGGAGACACCGCCGACGTTGTCAACGATACCTTCAGTGCCCAAGGCAGATTCTGAACGTCAAGCACTACCTCTTCGTGGCCCAGCGCCCAAAGCAGATTCTGAACGTCAAGCACTACCTCTTCGTGGTCCAGTACCCGAAGCAGATTCTGAACGTCAAGCACTACCTCTTCGTGGTCCCCTAGACGCTTCAGTGTCTGGCGATCCATCACGCAGGTCCTCGGGAGAATCAGGCCTCACGGCGCAGCTGGAACGAGTCATCGCTGAGGAGTACCCCGAACACGCATATCGAGGTGTGAAGAGGCAAACCCCTGAAGAGCCTGAAGCAAGTGCCTCTGCCCGACGTGAGTCTGAGCCTACGGCGTTCTCAAGCACCCTGTTAGCTCTTTTGTCAACCACAGTCCTGACATCGAGTCCTTTGTGAAGGCGTGAGCACATGTTCCCGATGCTCTAGCACGAGGACGGTGACTTCGCCTATGCATGTGGAAAGCTGGTTCGACGAGGTGATGGAGCGAGAAGCTTTGAACTCGCTAGTCCGCCCGCCGAAGCCCGAGGAGCCCGTGACGGACGACTCCACTGAATTCAAGGCCAAGACGGCCACTGCGCATTTTGCGCCCCAGTCCCGGACTGGTTCCCTGGTGCCGGCCAAGCGGCTGGCAGTCCTTCGCAGACATGGTAGGAGCATGGCTGGCAATCTAGGCTGGAATGGAATGTCACGACAGCTCGGCTGGGACGGTAGTCCCTTGGAGCTCCAGCCGCTGTACGAGACCCACAACTACCTCACCGTCGCGCACTACTTCGGCAATCACCAGGCCTCGACCCCGACTGTCGGCGAATCTCAAGCCTGGCACACTTGCGCCGGCAAGAAGAACATCGTCCTGTCTCGGACAGAAACCATGGCCAAGGAGTTGCTGCAGATGCAAGATTTCAGGCATGAGACGTGTCACCAGATGCTGGATGCCCTGGATCTCGGCAAGCCTCGCCGACAATGCCAGGTACCGGAAGACGGGGATTCAGGCTCTCTTGTGCTCGGGTTGTATAGCTACGGCAGCATGAGTGGCATCACAAAGGTAACGAAACCTCATCGTCACCTTTGCCGGTATGTCATGAAGTACCTCAAGCACCACGGCCTTTCAGACAACCAGATCACATCACTCCAGATCTCAAAGAACGTCCGCGCCCAGGCGCATAAGGACGTCAACAATGCCCGCAACAGTCTGAATTGGCATATGACTCTGGGTCGCTACCAGGGCGGGCGGCTATGGGTTGAATGCGGATCAGCCGAACCACCGCGCGAAGCAGAATGGAAGAAGGTGAACGGCAAGCAGGTTCCTGGACTATGGCATGATTCACGCCATAAGCTGCTGGCCTTTCGACCCGGAGCTCTTCACGAAACTGAACCCTTTGAAGGCAGCCGCTTCGCCATCACGGCCTACACTAGTCGCTCGCTCGACCAGGCGGACGTTTCGACTCGAAGCAAGCTGCGTCGTCTTGGTTTCCTGAGCAGGCTGAGTTCGACATTCGAGGCCTACTTTGTCGAAGAAGACCAACTACATGAAGGCATGGAGTGGCTACGAGAATCGCTGCATGAAGCATATCCGACGAGAACGTGGCAAACTCCTGGCGAAGGCGAGACGGCGGTCATGGACACCACGGGGGATGAAGGAGACGATGGAAGCCACGAACCCTCTCGTGCCCGTAAGCAAGCCCTCAAGAAGGAGCTACCCTGGAGATCCATGAGCAAGGAAGAGATACCCGCCTTCGTGCAAGCCGTGGTGGACGAATGGTCAGAGTGGACTCGTTGGTCGAGTTGCAGACCTGTCTACTGCGACGTGAGCAAGATTGACCCCCGGCTGATCTTGAAGTCGCGAGTGTGTTACAGATGGAAGCCGAAGAACGACGGCACCTACAAAGCAAAGGCCAGAGTGGTAGTGGCTGGTTTTCGAGATCCTCATCTACCACTACTATCCCGGGACTCCCGTGCTGAGCCGGGCCTCGTTGATGTGCCTACTGCAATGGTCGGCTTCAATGGGCACGCTGTTGTGGTCAGGCGACTGTAAGAGCGCCTTCCTCCAGGGCGCCGAGGACACAGAGCGCCCCGAGAGTATCTACATGAAGCCCCCCGTCGACCCGATCAGCCGTCAAGGTGTGGCCGAGTGGAATGAGCCGAACCTGCTGTACAAGCTCACAGCGCCTGTGTACGGGCAGTCGAACGCGCCACGACGTTGGTTCATCCACTTGACGAACGTACTGAGAAAGCTCGGATGGCAAGCTCATTCACTTGATCCATGCTTGTGGATGTTCAAGGCAGAGCACGAGGGCAAGAAGCGAGTCACCGCACTCTTGGGAGTGCATGTGGATGATCTCATCCTGACATGTCTTCCAGGTCACGAGTCAAAGCTCAAAGCCGTGGAGAACAGTTTCGTATGGGGAAATCCCTGGAAGTCCAGAGAATTCACATTCGTTGGCCGTCACCTTAAACAACACGAGGACGGGAGCATAACTGTCGACCAGGCTGACTACATCGCCGAGGTCCCGTCCACGCGCACAAAGCTGGAAGCCACCGAGAAGTTGGCCGGACATCCGGAGCTGGTGACGGAGTTCCGTTCTGGAATCGGGTCCTTACAGTGGCTAGCGGGGACCTCCAGAGGCGACATATCAGCGGATGTGTCGTTACTTCAGCGGCCGCCCAAGGACCTGACGGTCAACGACCTCCTGGAGATCAACGGCGTTCTGCGCTATGTGAGGGCCACGAATGACTCCTCCTTCCGCATCGTGCCGATTGACATAGACTCGCTGATGTTCGTCGCCTACGGAGACTCGGGCTGGGCGAATGCTCCGAACGGACGAAGCCAGGGAGGACTGGTCGTCGTGGCTACCAACAAAGCCGCGCTGACATCCGTCCAGCCGGCATCGCTTCTGGAGTGGAAGTCATATCGGCACCAGAGGGTGCTGAGATCAACGCTGGCAGCCGAGGCTGCGTCACTGGATCGCACGGAGGACTACGCCCATTTCCTCTCTGCGCTGCTGTCGGAAATGGTGGACGCCAACCACATCGCCACCATGAAGACCGAACCTCTGTTCGAAGTGGCGCCAGTGACAGACGCAAGATCTCTGTGTGGGATGCCGTGCATCGTTTGAGCACGAACTTCCAGGAGAAGCGGGTTGAAATCGACGTGGCTGCTTTGAGAGAAAGCTGCAGGGGTCTTCGCTGGGTCCCCACAGAGCAGATGATGGCCGACGTGATGACCAAAAGATCGAGGTCGCTGAGGGATAAATTCCGAGAATGGATGAAGGCGCCAGAAGTTACGCTGGTGGAGAGCAAGACGCCTGATGATGTGATGACTTCATCCCAAGCAAATGCCTCCTGGCGCTGAGACAGGCTGCTGTGGTGCGACTGAGTAGCGCGTGGGCCATGTAAAAATAGAGGAGTGTCAAATGAATGCTCCCTTTCACATATGATTGCTGTTGGCCACACGCGCCCGACCGAACTGAAGGCTCACAGGGACAGGGATGCGCGCTAGATGCAAAAGCCTTGAGACCACTTGGGAGTTGTGCGTTGAGATCCAGGCTCCACTAAACTGGCTGCTTACGCACGTTCATCATACTCATCTTCTATCAATAAGATGGAAATATGACGGAATGTCGCCAGGAGGTATCAGATTTGCTTGCGCCTGACAGGCTTCAAAACACTGAGACAAACTACATGTGTCGACTCCTTTTCGGGCCCCTCAGCGGAGCTGCCTCATGCATCTAAGTGCGGCCCTTGCCACATCCCCTTGTCAAGGTGGACGCTTCTGCTAACCTTCCCGTGGAAGAGCAGCTGCAAAGTTTCTACGTGCCTTGTGCAGTCTCAGGTAGGGATATTTCTTGCAGCTTGTCAGTACAGACGTCGGCGGTCTTTCGGTTACGGATTCGGCTCCTGGGAAGGGGGTTGCATGATGTTGCATGGCGGGGGAGTGCATGGAGGCTGAAGGGAAGGCAGCATCCCAAAACTTTTTCCGGTTCAGGAGACAGAGAGGTGCTTCCGAACGATTGTTCCTACTTCCACGGGACGCTTGGAAGCTCCTGCCAAGGTCCTCAACATCATCCTCGTGGCAATTTTCGTTGCCGAGGTGGTTCTGAAGATTTGCGCATACACGTGCAGAGGTCACTTCGACGGCATGTGTGGTGTGTTGAAGATCGGAAGTGGCCCTGTCAAAAGACGTGGCCGTGGCCTCTAAGAGAAGCTGTCGCACGGCCCTTAAGACAAAGGGTGCTCTTTGACTTAAAGAGAAGCGGTGAAAACCAAAAGTTTCAGGGGAGGCCCAGACTTGGACATCGATAAAAGAGGGTCCCGAAACATGTCTCCCGGAGCTGATTCTAAGATAGCCTTGTGCGAATGGGATTCTTGGTTTCGGCTCCCGGTCGGGAGAAGGGTGTTAACTTGGTAAAAAGGAGCCGCCGTGCCCACCTGCATCATGTCCACTGATCCTCTTTCAGCCTACCTTTCTTTGAAGAGGGTGGTGGGTTCTACTAGAGGAGGTCCGAACCCTAAACCCTAAAACCCTAAACTTATTAAGCCGCAGTCGTGGCTCTCAGGATTCCTCATGGGGCCCGAGAAGCTTTGGAATGTTTTCGACTTCCTGATTGTGCTTCTCAGCGTGCTCGACCCTGGGCTCGTGGGACTTTTTTTGGGCATGCGGGGCTTAAGGCTTCAGGGTGGGGATGCTGAGTATCGGCGTCTTGTGGCGCGTGTTTTTTTTTTTTTTTTTGGGGGGGGGGGGGGGTGGTGTTTCATTTTGGTTGTTTTGTGCGTGTGTGCTTGTTGTCCACCTCGGCCATAGACCCTAGAAATCCGACAGGGACGACCCTTTCTTTCAACTTTAAGTCGAAGCTTGCGCTTTAGCTTTGTAGGAAATGTACGTGTGCGAGCTCGCTGTACCAGCAGTCCTTGTTCAACTCCTGCAGTGTTTTTTAAGGAGATCATTGTTGACTTGCTTGCCCAAGCTCTGGCAGAATGGAAAGTTGTGGAGATCAGCCGCCTGACCAGGAATTTGGAGGGTTCAGAGTGTAGGTTGTTTAGGGCTCATAGGGTTTCAAGTAACATGTGTAGTTGTGGTAAGTTCTGTCAGAGAGAGAGCATGGAATTCTCTGCGCCGATTTTCTTGCGAGACTGGCTTTCAACATGGAGGTCCGTCACCCTCCACGCCGACCGACCGGAAAGGGAATGAGGGTTTAGCGCAGAGGTTGGGGGTTTCCAGCCGCTTGTCCAACATGGACCATCTGAGTCTGCTCTTCTTTCTGGCCGATCGGACCTCACCATCACTACGGCCCGCCCCTTTTGTCCCAGTGAGGTCCCTCCGCCCCGCAACAGCAAAAGAGCAACGCATCCCATCAGAAGCGGGGCCGTTCCCCGGTTATTGCTGCCCAGAGCCATTCCGGTGGTGGTTTCTCTTTTGCTTGCCAAAAGGGTACGCTAACTTAGAGTTCAAAAAAGCCCATGACTGAGAAATTCCTTAAATTTTGAGGGCTCAGGGCTTGGGATCGCCTTGGCTAAGGCAGCTTGCGCATCATGCGCTTTGCGCGACTGGTGCGGGCATTGCGAGGAATTCGTGCTTTGCCTAAAGGAGAATTGGAGTGATTGGGCGAGAGGTTTGGCTTCGTGACTTTTCCACATTGACAATTTAGTGACCACGCTTGCTTTAATTCCTAAGGCAGCTGGCGCTTGTACCCCCCTTGAGCATGGAACCCTGGTTCCCAATTGTCAGGCGTCATTCGAGTCATCCGCCGCTTGGCAAGCCGGATTTTTCGGCATTCCCGTCGTCGTCTATGACATGCTGACATGCGTCCTGCGCGTCTACAAAAATTTGGACTTACGGGCTGGCCATCAAAGCATCCATAGAAGCTGGGTGTCTCCTCTTTCTCAGATTCAGTCGGTCGGGGTCCAATCATCGAATCCGACAACGCAGGAAGGGAAGCCATAAACCCGCCAGATCACAGGCTACATCTCCGGCTTGCGGACCATCTTGTTCTCCATCGTGCCTGGGCTGTGTATCCTGAGACATGTTCAGAACAAAGCAGAACCTAGTTGACCTAGGACCCTCAAACCTCAGAGGCCCGAAGTTCCGTGTACCCGCTGCAAAGTCCTGAAACCCGAGACGCTCAACTCGAAGACCCTATGCTTCGCGTAGTCGGAACGCAGGCCAAATGTCATGTCCTGTTCAGGACAGCCTGGCTAGCCTTTACTTTGCGCTGCCCTGTGTTTCACGAATAGTTGCTCTAAACGCCTTGCTCTAAACGCCTCCGAGTGACATAGTTGGCGTTCAAGTTTCCAGTTCCCTTACGACACCTTCGTCGCATGCAGGCGAGCACAATGAGCTCTGTGCTTTGGACGATGGTGTTTCCCGGCAGTCGAGCTAGCCACGTTGAACTGACAAGACTTGGATTTAGGGCTCCAGAAACAGCATGGACTTGAATCCAGGTTGCAAGTAGGCACGATCCTGTCGCTCTGATGGTGCCTGTAAGCCTCCAAGAATCAGAAAGGTGGCTACAGGACGCATGATCTCCTTGGAGAAAGGTAAGTTTTGAGTTCTGTAGTTTTCTCAGGCTGCCCTCGCGGCACCTGACTTTTTGCCAGTGGACCTCAGTGTCGGGGCTTAGAGGTCAGAGCTTCAAGGTGTAGAGTTCAGGCTGTAAGGCTGAAAGTGTTGGAGGCAGCAATTGCTATTTGGGAACCGTCTTTGTCAAGATGCCGGGTGGGAAACCACTCTGTCGCCCAGGCTGCTGTTGATGATCTTCTTCTGCTTCGGAGTGTCCAGTGGCTGAATCACCCTCAACCCATCTAAGCCCTCGACCTTAAGACTTAAAGCCCTTAAACCCTAGTCCGTAAAGGGTGGAGGCCTTGGGCCGCGAACGCGTGAATGCTACTAGGTTTGGCCGGGCGCTTCTACGCTTAGAGGTCATTCCCAGCGTAAGGGGGTTTAGATAGGTCCGACAGCAATTGATGATCTTGCTTTCTCGCACCAGTAAAACAGTCAGAAGGTAGCGATCGTAGCACAGACTTGCTGTAGTCAGAGCAGAAAACATGCCAGGACGGCTAGACCTACACCCGAAAGCCCGATCCCAAAAGAGCCAGAAGAAACAGAAGAACCCTGAACCTCCCCAAAAAACCCCCCAAAGCCGACCCGGACCCCGAAGACACACTCAGGTCCTTGCATAAGGGGTCCTTGGGGGTAACCCTACTCCCCAGGTTGATAGCGCAGATATCGACGGACTACTGCCGTCAGTTCATCAACTCGGACTCGACCTGCGCGCCGCAGCTTCTCCGGTTCTGGCCGCTGGAGCTGTGGATTGATTTCGGGCGGGCATTTTAGGGTTGTAGGGTTCAGGGTTCCAACTGAAAGGCCCTTGGGGTGCAAGGAGTAGACTTTCTTTTGCGTCCAGAACAGGACGCTTGTGCAGAACAAGCATGCATTGGCCCTTGTACGATCGTCTGCAGATTGGGCTCAGGTTGGGTCTGATGGGTTCAACGAAGGAATGAGATCTGGACGCAGAGAAGGGTCCCTGTACTGAGGCCCTCCGTCATGGAATCCATGCTGACTCTCTTCCTCTCCATCACAGGAGGTCCGCAAAAGAGGGCGCTTGATCTGGTTTCGGGGGTTGGGGTGGCCATGCAGCTTTGCGAGAGTTCTCGTGGATCTAAGCGCTGGCCAAGCTGAAGCGCGTCTGAAAACGATGTCCTGGCATGCTCCGTTTCCGCGAAACAGACGGTAGTTCGTGGCATTGATAATAACTAGTCTCCTGAAAATCGAGGATTTCTCTATGCGAAGAAGCCATTCTTCCGGTTTCCTCATTAGTAGCGCCACGCTTACACAGCTACCAGCCTCATTTTGAGTGGAAGTTGTAATCCTTCGTGCCTGAAAACGCCTAAATGGTGGGTGTATTCCTGATGAAAGGGTTGAACCCTGGCAAAGTTGGTCCCTTAATTTCGTCGGATTTTTGCGTCGGAGATATCTGCGAGATTGCCCGGCGGGGCGAATTATCCAGCCATGTTTAACACAGCTCTTTTTGCTAACGTTTGCTACCGCATCTCAGAGGCCCCTTGCCACAACATGTGCAGGACTCAGTTGGGTTGAAGCCCTGGCACCTTTGAGAACCTCGGCCGTTTCCCTGCCCTGCGCCGTTTTGGTTAGAGCTTAAGCCCAAGCCTTGTGCTCAGCTGGAAGGTTGCTGGAGGCACGACAAGGCACGACAACGAGTGAAGCGCATTCGGGTGACCGCCCACACTTTGGGTTTAAAAGGTGGTAGCCGCCCGGTGTTTAAAGAGTAGCAACAAAAGCGCACACACACACACACACCAAAAGGATCGCGAACCTAGAATTCCTAAACCTGGTAAAGCCTAGCGCGCAGGGGCACTTGAGCTTCGAGGCACTGAAATCGCTGGATGTTTAGGACCTAGTTTTGCCTCAAACTCAGGCTCTTCGCCCTGTGAAGGACAGTTCGACCTGCATTCTACCCACCAGTCACCTTAAGGACACGAGACTGCAGCCCCCAAACCCCTGCCCTGAAGGAGTCGCTGCGTAGCATACGACTAGAAAGCCCTGATGCCCGCTGTCCCTACTGACAGGATGCCCTGCAGACGGCTGCTCCGATGCATAATTCAGGGTTTGCCTACTTCTTTTTTTGGGGATTGGGCGGGGGGGACAGGGGCCCCCTTGCCTTGAAGTTGCTTACTCATACTTGTCTCGCCTGTTCATCATGCTGGCAGTTGCTTGCATCTCCTGTCAGCCCGGGAGTTGAAAGCCGGGAGTGGACACGGGAGGACCCCTGAATGTGCAAAACGATGGGCATCCCCACTTTAAGTTGCTGGGCCATGGCTTTGTACGAACTTTTTTTGAATACTGAAGCCCACTCTCATGTTTCTGTATCTTTGTGGTGTATCGTGGGGCGACATTTTTGATTTTTGCTCCCGCCGTCGCCGAGGAGAACATGGCCAATTTCATGCAGTCTTTGGACATCTCTACTCAAGACGTTTGGACGCTCTTTACGTCACATGGCTCCGGCTTGGAGGATGTATGTTGCATTGCCTGAAACTTGTCATGCTGGCGCGAGAAATCGCTGAGCAGAGTTCTCGAGCAGTCAAGCAGTTGCTGAAGGGACATGAACAGCAGTCGAATTTCTGAGTACTCGAGTATCCACTTCAAATCCCGCATAAGCCCTGAACCCTAACCCGTGCTGTATGCAGTGGGCCCAGTCATGGACAGAAGGCACAAGGCCGGAAGTAGACTTTGGGAGTAGCGGTACGCTATCAATTTGCAAGCCAGGTACCAGGGAGCTTGGGCAGTTCGACATGACATGTTTAAGCCAATGTAAGCTGAGGGTCTGTGTGTGAATCAACTCAAGTCTTGGCAACGCCTGAACGACTGACTGTAGCGGTCAAATGCGGACACTCTGAAGACTTGTGGCTGCCAAGGGTCATCGATGCGGATGGCAGCGGTGAGATCTCCCTGGATGAGTTTGTGTTTGGTTGAACCTCGGAAAGGCTTAAGGCTTAAGCTTAGTTGGCCCAGGCTTTTGGCTCTAAAGCAGTGTTCTGGGGCGCCGTGCTTTCTTTTGAACAAAATTCGGGACCCAAGAATCGCACCCTGCGCTTTGCAAGTTCTTAAATGAGCAGAAATCCTGACTTTAACCATGCGATTCTACTTTAAGCTTCGTGCCTTGCCAAGCCTTGTCCGAGGCATGCAAGTGCAGGGGCCGGCCAAAGGCGGCGCTGGGAGTTGCGAGCGTTGGGGTGGATGTTGCACAGGTTGTATGATGATTTGCGCTCATGGCCATGCCAACACTTTGATGGGAAAAGTTGGGGCTGCCAAATTTTCCACGGAAGGAGAAAGATGCTTGTTGAAATTCCCCTGAGACTAAAGACGACACTGAACCCGACACTTCAAGTTGCAATGCCGAACGACGGCCATTGGTTTAGTTTTGTTTCCTTCTTCTATATTCCCATACCATCATACTGCATCGCTAACCCTAAACCGTCCTGAGTCTCTCTAAGCCCTCCAACCATGCCGGATGTGTTTCAGCCTGCGCAGGTGTGCAGATGGCACGCTTGCCGCTCACTTATCACGTTTCGCAAGATGGGTTTCGGTCGCTCCAACAACCCCAACAAGTCCTAAATTCGTGTAAGGGCTTCCAACCCTGTGGAGTAACTCTCCGGACATCCGAAAAGTCTACTGTGTAAGAACCCCAAAATGCCTGCAGTCGAAGGTGATCCACGAATCCCATGCCTTTTCTTCCTGAGGGGCGTTTCATGTGCCTTCAAGCGCCCAAATGCTTTCGATGGCCCTGACATATCTCAGTTTGATGGGTCGAAGGCGGGAGGTTTAAAGGCGCACTCCCTGGAGTCGGGGTGCGTCGTGCTGTGAGAGAGTGGGAATGACCTTCGCTGACCCTTTCTCTTGCATACCTTCGAAGGGGCGCGCCTAACTCCAATCCCCGGCCCGCATGCTAAAGCTTCTCTTATGCAAATCCCGAGATCTCCAAGGCAGCACGAGACGACCATCGTCCGCAACAAAATAAAGTCTCTGCGCCGCGACGTTGAGAGGCTGGCAGTGGCCGAATTAAGGATTGGGGAGGGGGCTTCAATGGGGTCAATAGGGCTCGTAGCTTCATGGTGGGGGCTTCGGCTGGAAGCTGAAGGGCTTGAGAAGGGCCTCTTGAAAGGAACATCGTCAACCATGCATCACAGGATCCCCGATGAAAACTGTTGCCGAAGTGCACGGTCGCAAGGTCGCCATGTACTTGAATGGCCATAAACCATGATTTGGTCGAGTCCTTTGGTCCGAAAGTCAGGCTGAAGACGGAGATGAGCTTGGCAGCTCCCTGGCTGTGCTTCAGGCGGATGGCTGAGGTGGATGGCCCATCATCCTTGGTGATACTCTTCGGATGTGACATAGGTCATGAGCATAGTTTCTTCGAGCCACTAGCTCGCACGAGTAGAATGAGTTGGGATTACGGGGTGCGTTTCAAGCTCCAGTTGCTTCTTCTATCTACGCTCGGAAGGCTCCCAACTGCACCCTATGGATAGACCTCAGAAGAACTTTAGACCCCAAATTCTCCCAACATCCCTGGACGTGTTTTTGTGATTCGGGAAGTTGAGACACACAAAGCATGGTTTTGAATTACGGTTAGTTTGGAAGGCAGGGTGCTTGAGCTTCATGATCTGCAATTGGCGTCAAGAAAATTTTCAGCATTCTGTCAAAGTTTGCACATAACAGAAGGCTCTCGCAAAAGGTCGTCCGTCTATTCAAGGCCGCACAGCTGCCTGAGCCAAGGCGAGCAAGGATACTTCGAGCCTGGAGCGTGCGGAGACCGTGCATCACGAAAACCTCTGAGATTGGCCGACACTTTCTCTCCAAATTTAATGTCAGCTGGCGTTTACCGTTTACCAGTGGCTTTGAGAGACCTCCCTGGTTGCGGGCAGTGATGGTGCTGTTGAAGCATGACCAGTGTCCTGGCGTGTACGTTCACTGTGTCTCTGGCTCGTGGTGCAGAGCGCCACGCCAGGTTCTGCAGAACCCTAAACCCTAAACCCACGCATGATTGAAGGTTCAGGCGAGAGCTCGAGACTTCTCGAATCTGAGCCCTCTAATCTTCCGGTGTTGGGGGCGCAGGCGTTTCAAGGTGTAAAGGGGGTAATGTTGCTTGCCTGAGCCGCAAGAGAAAGAGACTTTTCGTTCACAGAACAAGGCTTCCTTCTTCAGCAATGAGATCTCAAATCCCCCAACCCCAAAACGCATGGACACCCATGATGGGTTCATCGCTCGAACCAACGTTGTTCCGTGAACCGCTGGAGCCCTTGCCTCAGCAATAGTGCTGAGAGCTCCCTTTTATATAAAACACCACTGCCTCTTGGCCTCGGCAGAGACCTGATGAACCTAATCAGGTGGTTCAGCTGAGTGCTTCTGATAGCATGAGTTTTCTAATGGAGAAACTGGTGTATAGGGAGTTTCTCAATATTCAGTGGCTCTTTGCAGGTAAGTTGCGGAATTACTCTGAGCGAGGACATCCGAGGACTATGCAAGCAACGCCAATTCCGCAACGCCTCTCTGAGCCCATGAGTTGATCCAAGCGCTTTGTTGGGCGTTTTGGTTTTGTGCTTGAAGCGACCTGCCGATGTGGCAAACGGCTCGGCAGTCTGGCTTTCCAAAAGGGCTCTGGTTCTCATTTCGGTTTCAGCAGTGGTTCTGACGGTTCTGGGGTCTGGGGTTACGTGGGATTAAGAAGGGGACATCCGGTTTCACTCAGCAACCACCGATCCTCAAGGAGGGCAGGGTTGGCAAAACGGCCCTTTTTTTGTGTCGCGAAAGAGCCAACGCCTGGGAAAGTCTGGAAGCGGTTGGAGCCTACCATCGACTGAGGGCCAGGAACAACTGGCACCCTTTCAAGTATGGCAAGCCATGGCGAGCCTGTGTTGACGTGCAATGCTTTGGAGTTGGACCCCTGCCTCAACTCCTAACAAACTCTACGGCAGGGCCCTAAACTCATTTCAAACGTGGCAACCCTTAGCTGTGCTTCAGCTCCAATTCAATTTGTCTGATCAGCCTGGCGAGCCGAGCATTTTGATTTCAGAGTGGCACGTGGCACCAAGCCGAGATCCTCTGAGCGCCGATCTTGTACGAATGTGCCGCGGCTGCACCGCCTTTCCTGTTCGGCAGTCTCCCGCAAGTTCTTGCGCCCATCCGGTTCTGCAGTTAGGCCCGTTTGCACCGGCTGTGCTCACATTATGCAGGGTTTTTGTTCAAGTGTGCCTAAGAGAAGGGGAGATGCAGCATTGCAACCCGAACCTTTGCGTAACCTTTCGTAAACATGTTCCAGGCTTCCGAGGGGTTTGCGTGTTGCCTGCCTGCGACACAGATCGACACCACTCATGGCTGGTGGCGTAACGTGCAGAAAGAAGCAGCGGTATTCACAGTACAAGGCAGGTTTAAGACCACTGCTGCTTCGCTGAGGCGTCTAAGCCGGTGCCTAAAGTGCCTAAGAGGCCATGACAACCCCCCGAAATGCTACAAATTGTCAGAGCTTGTCAGAAGGAGGTGCAGTTCGTATGCGATGATGTAATTGCATCGAGTTTCGGCCATCGCGCCGGAACCCGACGGTAGCCGGCAAGCAACATACGCCGGCACTCGTACAGACGGAGCGCTCGAGTATCAAAAAAGGCACAGACACAGACACTGACACTGACACAGACACAGACACTGACATTCTCCAACCTGTCGGGTTCATGATAGAATCCAATAGAACTATGGCCGTCGTGTCGGGGTCCGTTTTCGGACCCTCTTCAAAATGCATGAAGTACGCAGTTCTTATTTACAGTCTTGGTCCAGAGTGGCCCATCTTGGTACATGAAGACAGTGATGCTGATGCCAGCGTATTTGTTATTGGTAGTATGTCATGTTGGTATTCTGAGTATTTTCCATAGTCCCGGGCGTGTTCCAGAATGTTTTGCACACGATCACAGATGCAGGGAGCAGCACGTTCCGAAGGTTTAGCAATGTGCCCATAGCCATAAAATTGACAAGGTGGTTGTGCGCCACCGATGATCTGTATGGGTCGTGCGTTGCATGTGCGTCGCGCGCTTGTGAGGCGTGATGTGAAGTCCCCACCTCAGGCACGGGCCACGCAGTAGTCACAGTAATCTGTGATTGGAAGAGTTCAGCTCGCATGCGAGCACCGATCCGCGAGGCCAAGCCACCAGCGCCAGCAACCAGCAGGCGCGCGATCTCGGCTTTGCCGATGGCACCCCGCATCCCTTGAATGGTTTCAGGTTTGGGGTTGGCCGTTGCTTGAACTCCCTGAGGACATCTACAGCGAGTTCAACGGCATCTGTGTGAGGGACTTGAGTCAAATGACTCGCTTACAGTCACTAGATCTCAATTGGCCATGAGCTGTCGTTGCTCATGATGTGTGCAGCTACCCATGAGTTTTGCCAACAAGTTCCCCAAGTAGCGATTTCCCAAGTAGCGTTTGACCAGTTTGACCATGTGTGCTTCATAAGCACTCCCCGGTGGCCCCTCCTTCAGTGCGCATGAAGCCGATGTCGTCGTATTCCTTGAACGCGCACAAACTGACAAGGCACAGCCCAACGCCGAAACAATTTGACGATCCGAGGCTCCACATTCGGTGCAGGTGAGGCTGAGCCCATCCGAGACCACGATGCAAACCGTATCGTTCATGAACCTCTGGGTGTGGATTCAGGCCGGATGGACGATAAGAACCACTGGAGGGCTCATTGCGTGTTCCTTGGGCATCCGTCTCGGGCGTGATATTTTTCAGCACAATTTAGCATTGTGACCTTTGCCACTGTCTCAACGGGTTTCCTGCCGCTGGGGGCCCTCTTCGACTAATCCTGGAGTGTGACGGCAAATGAGGACAGAAATAGGGATGCTGGAATGCCATGCTGTCCGGACCGCACCCGTGGCCCACCCATAAAGTTCTCATCCAAGGGGCTTTTGTGACCAAGGGCCTCAGGGTTTGTTGCTTTGCCACCCTCAAACATCAAGTGACGATGGCAGGTGCACATGCTTTCGTGCAACAAGTGCAAGACAGACATGTGCTGGAAAATGCCAGGTGCATCCCAGCAAGGGCGCCGCTTTTGACTCCCGTGACGCCTCGTAACTGTCGGCGAAACAAAGAAGAGGGCCAGCACAAAGTGCCAGCATTTGCAAGCCCTCAACAGGAGACTCCGGAAGCCGCGTGCAGGGGAAAAGATCAAGCCGCATCAAATGCAGGCAACACATGCCAAACACCCCAGTCCCACTACAGTGCACCGCGGATGCACTACATTTTCTCTCGTTTGTTTTTTTTTTCTCGTTCTCTCTCTCTCTCTCCCTCTCTCTGTCTCGATTTCGCTCTCTCAGCTTCTTGGCGCCTCATTCTTCTGGCTTCACGAACGCTAGCATACGAACCGACACAGCGGGCGCAGCCAGCTCGCCGCCTCAGCACTCATAAACCACCTTAAAGCCCTAAGCCCTGCGAAGCCCCAAAGCCCAAACCCTTCTTTTCAGCCCACTTTCAGTGACTCAGTGAAACCCATTGTCGGTGAGACGGAGTCCAGCCAGGTCTTGCCTCATCTGATCAGTTGGTCCTCAGACAGTTGTATTTTTCTACTAGGCCACTTTGCCAGAATCCTGGAAAGTCCCAGTCGCACCAGAATGCCACAAAAGATTTCAGAAGGCCAAAACAGTTCCAAATGTCGTTTCGTCGCCAGAAACACTGTTTTTTGCCCGCACAGGATGTTGAAGATGGTGTGCTATGTTGCCTGCATTTGCTCGCATTAGCCCGTGCTGACCAAGATGCACTACATGTGGACACAAGAAGCTCACCAGAAAAAACAAACATCTAGCCGAATGGTCGGTGCATGTCGGTGCCGGCGACTTCTCCCATCTGACATTTTCCGAGATGGCTCCGTCAAGAAGCATCCTAGAACACACGCCCGAGCATGTATGATGCACAAGAATACCTAAGTATTTCTTCCATTCGCTGCCATGACCAAGCTTGGCGCGGAGCTCCTGTGGCCTGGTGACATATCAGCAGCACGGACCTCAGCCGCAGGTGACCAGGTGTCAGATCATGTCAGTTTTGCATGAGGCCTGTCCACGATATGTTGAAACTGCAACGCCCAGTTCAAACAGACCACATGAGTCCGTGAGTTCTATCAGATGTTAGGGGAGCTCAATCTCCAGTTAGTGGCACATCGCCGAGGATTTTGCTGATGAGGTCGTCACGATTCTTCTGCAGTGCCTTGTCTTGTTGGGTGAAGTAGAGCAAGATACCTTCGACATGCGACATGACGATGAGCATGATATTGGTGAGCCTTCGCTGATGATGCGTCGAGTGATGCGTCGAGTGTTGTTTTCACAACCATCATCACTTGCTCAATATACAAGGCGCGGCTACTGCAAAGTGCGTGCTCCCGTTTTGGAGCAGCGTGGGATGGTTCTGGACTTGGCCAGGCAGGAGCTGTTTGTTGGGAGAAGGCTCCGAAGCCGGTGTTAGACCTGGATTGGAGGCGCACGGCGAGTTTTGCCTTGCCCCACATGGAGCTGGAGGCACCATGTCCACATCGTTCGTGTGTGTGTGTGTGTGTGTGTGTGTGTGTGTGTGTGTGTGTGTGTGCGTGCGTGTGTCTCGGCCCTATCCAAGATGCTAAGGAGGGGTTCCTGGGACGCCGCTCTCGGAGCAAAGTCGCCTTCCTTGCAGCCGACGTTGAGGAGCCCTTACGAGGCCAGGACTGCGTAGGTGCCAGGTGTTGCAGAATTTCAGGAAACAAATATGGGGCGCAGCATTGGATGGTGGCGCAGGCTGTATTCGCACCATGACGCAGCTGGCAGATGCAGTGGCGCCCCGTCTGGGCCAGGAGCTAGGCGCGCACGTGAGGGGGCCAAGGAGAAGAGGAGAGAGAGATGAATAAGGAAGGAGAGAGGAGGAGAGAGCGGCGTGGGCCGGTGAGAGGGGCTGCTCCGTCGACTGGCCACAACCAGAGAGGGGAGTAGAGTTGCGTGGGGTCGTTCTCTCTGTCAAATTAGCCAGATAGCCGATAGCCACTGGTACACGTCGCTGCAACGCGTGTCAGTAAAGAAGCTGCGGCCTTCTTGAAGCGCATATCTACTAGTTGGCGTCGTTAACGTTCCGCAAAGATGCCAGACCGGGGGATCAAGAATCCAGGAAGGAACCTGCAACCAAGACATTCGTTGCATTTCATTGCTGCCCGGAGGCTTCGAGGCTTTGCCACAGCTGCAGCAGCTCCTGCTGCGGGAGCCCCTGGCTCGTGGTGAGCGGAACACATTGAGCCCTGGACCTCTCTCTGAGGAGGAGGCCTTTGAGTGGCTGCGCTGATTTTTTGAAGTTTAATTGTGCTGAGTCCCATTACGAGTGTGTTGCTATGGGTGTTGCAGTGAGTTGCGACTGTCCGTGTGCAAAGAATGTGTACGAGTTTACTGTTGTCATCTCGGCTCTTTGCTCCTTGTCAAGGCACGGCACCCTGAGCTCCCAGACCATGAAAGGTGAGACAGGCATAGGCAGGGGTGGCGGTTGCTATAGTCCTTGGAAGGTGGAGCGGGGTTTGGTGGAGCAGTACTTGGGCTTCCTGCAGACGCGCCGACTCTGTATCATGTACGTCCTGGAGGCTGCGAATTCGCTATGCTTCGCTATGCTTCGCTATGCTTCGCTATGCTTCGCTTTGTTTCAAGCAATCGGCCACCTGGAGGCGGAGAAGGGCTGCTTGGAGTTGTACCCCCAGGGTGCCAAAGCGCCGCTTAAGGTGCCAGTGCCAGCGGCTCAGCGCTTTCGAGCATGTTCGAGCTTTCGAGCAACGCATTTGGTTTCGATCTGTCAGGGCAGCTGATACCCTCGTCCTTTTCCGCAGCGACGAGCTGTCCTATGCGTATGCCGGCCCGCCGCATTTGCCAACCGCAACTAGCGACTCAAGTAGCAGAGGAGATTTGGTCGCCCAAGCGGTGCGCACGAGAGCAACACGCCAGTGAAGGTCCAGTCCGGTCGCGATGCTGCGCTGCAAGGTTGGGTCCTGTCCGCGCAGGACCAGGCCGGAGGGAAGTGGGGGGAACACAGCTCCTGTTTCCAAGGCAACTTCCTGAGTAGATGAGAGGGACTTGGCATCCCTGAAGGGTCTACGGGAGCATACGGGAAATGACGGGAACCCGGACTTCCCCTCATCTCTGGTCTGCCTTTGCAGGTGGCGCTCCAGGGCCTTGACGGCCGCACAGCTGCAGAGCTCTGGGAGAGCAGAGCGCAGAGCAGAGCTCTGGGAGAGCAGAGCTGGGCTCGGAAGAGAGGAGAGGAGCGCATGGGCAAAACCGAGGCGACTTCGAAGGCATGCAGGATCTTTACGGAGGGCCACGGATCCAAGGCCTGTGTTGCAGATGTCCCGTCCTCTCACATTTATATGTTTCTCAGTAATGCTTATGTTATTGCCTTGCAAGGCATGTCAATGTCCCTTCGAGGTCAGATCATGCCGGCTGCAGACCAGGTCAACATCATGACTGCTGCATGCAAGCTGCCTGCGAGCGCGGACAACCTCGACCAGAACTACATAATGTACAGTCTCGTGGCGCCGTTCAGAGAAGATGTTCTCGGAATTTCCAATTTGCTTGGCAACGGCAGTCCTCTCCGCACTCGCCAGCACAGGTGCGCAGACAGACACGTTCATCGAGATTCCCCAAATGCGATGGGATGTCAATGAATACTATGCGCCGAATCCAGAAGAGATTCCCGGCTGCAAGGGTTTTGTGAGCCGCACAGGTGGCCTCTGACTTGAGTGCGTCTTAGCAGCTTTCCAAGGAGCCTGGTCCCAAAGTCGTACACGAAGCACTGCGGGCTCTTAGCGGACGCCGACACCTGGCTGCACATGGTTGCAACTGGTGCAAAGTCCAAAGTCCGGCTGCTCGTGGCTGCTCATGGCTGCTCATGGCTGCCCGTGGCTGCCCCATTCAGCCTCGATGTCGACATGGGCTGCACGGGGACACAACAAGATAGTCGGCAACTAAAACACGCCTTAGACGTAGTCGCTTTATCGATCGGCGTCCACATTGCGACAAAGTCGGCCTCGTCGTCATTTGCACAGCGTCTACATTGTCTTTTTGCACGTTGGCAGTGCTTGCAAACGCTATATTCTCATTGGTACAGACCTTGTGTGTGTGTGTGTGTGTGTGTGTGTGTTAGCTTCCGTAGCCATTTTGGCTCAAGAGAAGGCCCAAGAACCTCGGGTGTGCCCGCTTGTTTCTTCAAAGCTTCAAAGCTTTCGAGCATGTCTGATCCTGTGAGCCAGGGCCAGGATAAATCCTTGCAAAGGCGGCCGATGCTTCACCTACGATGACAAGTTCGGCAGACAAGGCGGCCAGTGCTACACCCCCGACTACCAGCTCAGCTGGATGGAGCAGGGAAACTGGACGCCTGTCGGAGAAAGGTCCTGGCAAGAGGGATTCACGTCACCTCTAGATCTCGCAATCGTTCAGTTCAGGATGGGCAGATGCCACGTTCGCAGGTGCCAGCCTTGTCCCTGATCCTAGTGTACATGGCACTAGAGCCGGTGTGCACTTCCCAGGGCAACCGCCTAGCACGAGCAGTTTGTTGCAGCGAAACATGCGCGGTCAACAACCTACTCCGATCAGCAAACGATCACGGAGGCTGCAACGGTGCCAGCGCCCGCATATGGCGGGGAGTCGAGCGCGAAGACAGTAGCATTGTGCTGGCTCCTGAGCCAGTCGTCAGCCCGACGCACCTTCTGCCTACCGTCGGACTCCTGCACGACTGGGAAGGCACGAGAGGCTTGCAACGGAAGGGTACTTGCAACTGGATTGCACACCTCCAAGGAATGGGGGCCCGCAACCCTACCTAACGCGAGGTCTTTGCGTAGCTCCTGAAGCATGGTTTCAGTATGCAAGTTGGCGCGGGGGGCTTCCAACACAGACTGAACGTGAGCACAGTTTGCCTTGCGAAATTCGGCCTTTGACATCGGTCGGGAGTATTGGCATCTGTCCTGGCCTGTCAACCCGACCCTGCCGGAAGGGGGCCTAACATCTGGAAGCCCCAAGACAGCTCGTACAACAGCTCAAGTCGCCCCGGAAAGTTGAAGGCCTCCAAGAGCCACGCTAACGGAACCAACTGGAACTGCAACGCATTCGTGCCCTGGCGGTAAACTGACACTACGTGTGGCGGGCGCTGTACTGCCCACTCTTCTTGCCAAGAAGCGAGTTCCGAGACCAGGCTACGTAAATCCTCTAACCTAAGGGGCGCCAGTCTAGACCCCATTGAGGCACGCGTCGAGGTGACCCATGATAAACACGGGTTGAGCGCGGAGGGGCAGAGCTGAGAGAAGGTGAGAGAACAGGCCCAATGAAAGTGATCCAACGGGCTCGTGCCCGGAGACTGCATTGCCGGATCCTGAGGCTCGTTGGGGCCCCACTGCAGGCCAGACCTCAACCAGCAACTTGCCATGCGCTGTATGGGGCGATCCCCATCTGGGCGCCACCGAACCTGGAATGAAGGACTCGGCAAATCCGCGCACCAAGGGCACGGACGCAGCAGCACACTGACAAAACCCCCAGGTTGCACAAAATCACGAACAGCAAGAACCGCGCAACCCCTACATGCCAAGCGTTGCCTAGCTGTCTGCACCGGACGCCCTCTGCACAACTGGATGTGTATCCGGACGGGATGGACTGCAACCACTCCCGCCAGCGATCTGCACAAGGGCTGTTTTGCGGACGGCGAACATGCGGATTGAGGGGTCGTCTCGAGCTTTCGCTGCGAACGGATTCGCTTGGCCACTTGGGGTAAAGTGACGGGCCGCTATGATCTCACCCAGCTGCACTGCCGTGTACGAAAGGGTAACCTTCTCGTGTACCATTCTGGCCAAAATGGCCTCTGCTCCTGCCAAAGCAAACGTGGGAAACCTCCTCGGCCTACCATCGACTCGAAGTCCTTGATGAAGTCTGCCCAGTAGTTCTTGGGCAACTCCTTCTTCTCGCTGGCCGAACTTGAAGAACTAGGCGCCGCAGACGCGGCAGCAGCAGCAGCTGTCGCAGCCGGGGGGGGTCTTGTCGGGCGGGCCGCCTCTATGCAGTCGAACAGGTCCAACAAGGCCGCTTCGTCGACCATGAGCTCGTCGTCGGTCCTGCAGTGAGTTGTTCCACTCAGCTCCACCCCTGCACGAAAGGGCTCCAAGAACTTGTCCACCCGCGTCCTGTCCCCGAAGAAGTGGAAGAAGATGCCCTTGCTCGCCAAGCCGCGGGCCTTGAGGAGCGGAGCTCTGCGCGGCCATGTCGTCGAAGCTCGGCGTCTGCATGGCCTTGGACCTGCTAGTCCTCTGAGGCAGAGGAAGACTGTGAGTCCTCACGAACACTGTGTTGGGTCCTAACTGCGGTAGCCAAAGAGGCTTGCTCGGGGAAACAACTGTCGCAAAGCTTAAAGCCCGGCAGCAAGTTAGGGTTACGCTGACAGCTTGCTCTCCCGTAGCGCCATTTCCCACATGCAGACACCCATTCATCAGACGGGGCTGCCGATGCCCCCGCACAAGGCTTATGCGCCAACTTGGACCTAACATTATGTACCAGCATGCCTTGTCCTCTGAGGCATTCGGCCACAACAGATCTAATTTGCTCCAAGGCGGACGGGAGAATTTCTGAGTTAGAGCCTGCTTGGTCTCCGAGAACCGAAGTACGTCTTGCCACCGCGGCGGCGGCCCTAGCAGGCTCTGCCAAAGCTGCTTCCTGGATGTAGCGCAAAATGGCAGCGCTGCCCCATCTCCCCAGCAACATGATGTATGAAACGTCCAAGCCTGCCCGCGCAAACAATTGCGACCCTGCCACCCGAAAGGTGTGCTGTGACCAGCGTTGGAGGGCTGCGATCGGCCAGTCCATCAAAGCATCGTCCAAGAGCACCTTAGCTGCAACTCTGGCCAAATACGCCAGCTGCGTTTTGGAAGGAGCCTCACCATTGCGGTCACGAATAAAGGCCGCCTCCTTATTCCAGCGCTGAGTGCGTCGCAACTCCACCGACATCCGCAGAGCTGCATGGTACGGGCACAGAGGGTGTCGCCCAGTCGAGCACGCACAACGTTGCAACGAGGTGAACAGGGCCGACACATCGCCTGCCTGGCGGCAGTCCGGGTCATGTCTGCGATCACACAAGCAAATGTGTGAGCGGTGACAGCCCTTTGCGGACGGGTCAGTTTTGGGCACAGGTAGATGCAACCTCACCTCGCCAGAGCGGGTCAGAGCCACGTCTTCGCATCTGACGGTGGCCATTTCCAGACCTCGCAACAAAAACCACGCTGCGAGCCCCACGGTGTCGGCCGGGGCGAACATGCGTTGGTCGACCGGCACGCGCAGGTCGTCATAGGCCTTTTCCAGCTCCTCGGCAAAGTCGTTGGAGACTCGTTCCAGCGGCACATCCCGTTTAATTGCGGACGGGCCCATCCCTCTGACAATTGACCTGGTTGCTTGCTGCACAGCGAAATCGAGGCGATCATTCCACTCGTGACCTGCAGCCCTATGCAAACTTTTTGCCACAGCAAAATATTGGGCGGCGCTCCGGTATCGTCCGAATTTGAAGAGGGCTCCAACCTTGTCCACCAGATCCGGAGTGACAGGAAGTGGCGGGAGGCCTCGTTGTCCTGCGAACATGCACCACGTCTTCCAACGGCTATCACGTGGGCCCGAGCTCGAAGAAGCATACTTATCCCGCTGAAATTCCTCGTCCAAACGGGCCAAGGTAGCCGGCTCCCCCGCTACGGACTGGACTGAGCGCGCAGATCCCCTTGCATATGGGTGTACTACCGGCACATCCTGTCGCGCCGAACGGGCGCGCACACCTCGTCGCAAAAACAGCGCATCCACACACTCATCTCCCAGCAACTGGCGCAACTCCGACTTCGGCGCCTCCTCAAGTGAACGGGCAGACCGAATTCCCTTTGCCCGAAGGCGCGCTGCAAATGTAGGAACACCAACTGCGGTCAACACATGAACTAAGCTCGCGAACGAGTCCCTATGACGGGGGCAATCAAACTGCCACACGCTACCCCTTGAGCGACGGCTGCACGGCTGCCGGCTGCCAATCAAGGCGCCTTTTGAATCTGCTCGAAAGCACCGTGAATTTGCCCGAAGGCTCCCACTAAAGTGTCAGAGTGCTCCAACCTTTAACAACGAAGGAGCCGAACCAGGAAGTAGGGAAACCCCAAAACAAACAGGGGAACCCAGGGGACGCAACCTCCCGAACCTCCCCGAAGGCCCCCGCGAAGACAAAGAGAAAGGGAGTGAACTACTTTCAGTCAAAGTGCCGGCGGACAGGCTCTCGTGCCCGCAAACGACCAAGACTCCAAGCAAGGGACCCTGAACCGAACGGGAACCCACAAGGGAAAGAGGAAACCCAACAAGGACGCAACCCAACCAAAACCTTCCCAGAACTCCCCCTCACATCCGCCTTAAACGTGCAAGAAACACAACACGCCGACAAGGCGTCGGGCGAGCACTTGACCCTGAGCCCCCGAAACCCGGCAGGCGTGCACTGTTTGACGGCTCGGCAACCCTGTCGCCGAAGACTCCTCTGACTTGAAGCAAAGCATGAAAACCCTGACCAGGGAGGCCAGCCTCCGGTCGAACTTGCTCTCGGGCATGTCCATGGCACCACCTAGAAGATCACATGCAAGGACGTCTTGAGTAAGGTCGAAGAAATCTCGACGGCGTCCGCTTATAGCGGCCAAGCAACTAGGGCATCTACATCGGCTAAGGCTGGTCAATGCACCATCTTTTTGGAGGGCACGGCCACCCCCTGCCTGACTTGATGTGGCTGCAGCTCTGGTCTGTGGCTCCACAACCATACAGATCTCTTGGGCGATACAGTCCACAACTGATCCCTTGGCTCGGGCTGTGAACTCGGTCTCTGTCTGAAGATCCCTTGTTGGCTGCGGTTGACCGCGACTCTGCATATAGAATGCTTCCCGTCCGGGACCCGTGGGAGTGTGCGGTCATCGTCCCAGGAGTCTCGCGAGACCAGTGCCAGTTGTGGACACACTACGCCATGCCTTTTGGCGCCGTGGGGTCGGTGTGGGGATACATTCGAGTAGCAGACGTCCTTGCATTCTTGCCCATTGCGTCGCTGTGGCCATGTGTGGCGCACTTCGTGGACGATTTTTTTCTCGTCAAGGGATCCGGCACAGCACATCCTGCTTTCAGGGCATTCCAGTCATTTCATCAAACTCTGGGGTCGCGCATGAAACAAATCAAGGCCAAACCGCCAGGTAGGAGCCACACTTTGTTCGGGGTCGAGTGGGACATCAGTGACATCAGATCTGATCGCCTCTTGGCGTCCCCTGGAAAGCGCCGTATTTCCAAGCTTGCGGTGCGAATCGAGGAAGCCTTAAGAACGAATACCATTTCTGCAGCGGATTGCGCGAGCCTTTCTGGCAAACTTATGTTCGTTTGCTCGTGGGTGTTTGGCCACGTTGGCAAGGCGTTCCTCCAGCCGCTGTACTTCCGTCAGCGTCACGGCCCCGCAGGCAGGACTACTTTGTCTGAGCCACTTCGTGCAGCCCTGCGGCACTTGCGTGCGTTGTTGCCATCCCTTCGTCCAGTCTCGTTTCCGTTGGGACAACACATTCGTGCACGTCGCGTTTGCGTTTTGTACGCGGACGCGTTCATAACGTTGCGTGACGCGTGTCGTGCCGCTGCACGTTGGCTGCCTGACGCAGTCCCGTTCGAGATTCTCCGGGAGGCAACCAATGGCTTTGGTGCCGTTTTCTGTGCACTCGGCTCGCAGCCTATCGCATTCAGAGGCGAGGTTCCCAGGTTAGTCCTTGCGCGTGTTGCCTCAAGTAAGGCTTTCATTTTTTGGTTGGAGGCTCTTGCCCAGATTCTTTCCATTATTGTTGTGGCACACATGGTCGAAGCTGACATCCTTTGCTTTGTGGATAACACTGCTGCCGAGTTGGCGTTGCGGAAGGGGTCTTCAAAGGATTTGTTGTTGTCGGCGTTGATTGGTCAGTTTTGGATTTGGGTTGCTGAGCGGGGCCTTTGTTTGCATTTTCGCAGAGTTGCTAGCTCCGAGAACTTGTCCGACGGCATCTCCAGAGGAGACTTGGCCGATGTGCAAGACATCAAAGGAAGAGTGGTCGAGGTCCCGTTCATCAAGATTTGGCAGACCTTGCTTCAGCTCGAGCCGTTCGGCGATCGCAACAAGGAAGTGTTCGATGTCTTGGCCTCACAGCTTTTCGAGCTGGTAGCTGCGGGCGCGCTCGAAGGTGGCATGGTGGCGCGCTGAGAGTGGCTTTTGTTCGTACGCGCCTTTTCGATACCTTTCGAGCGCATGTTCGCTAGGACTGTTGGATGACAGACCAGCGACAGTACGAGTTAAGCCCGAGATGCTGCCACCTTATCCGATGGGAAGAGACACAAAAAGGTGGTCTGCGCAGAATGCGTGTTAGCATCTCATGTGGAGATAGACTTGTCTGTGTGCGTGTGTGTGTTAGCTTGAAATAGTTCGTTGATTTGCGAGCGTCTGCACGGTGAGCAGCTTTTGACACACAGTTAAACTTCATTTACAACGTCGGCCGTTTGACCCATGTTGGCTGTTTGCTTAAATTCGAGCGTCAACCTCGGGATGTGCAATTCTACCGCTGATGTGTGGTGCACAGGGCAGGTTGGGACCCGGCTGCCGCCACTGCAGCGCTAGACCAGCGGCGACTTGTCGCCGTTCGCTCCCGGGTCGCGCCTTGATGTTCTGCGCACCTGGAAAATCGACATTGAGACAGGTTTGCAGGTCCGGCTGCGCTTTCTGCCCCACTCATGGGCAGAGTACTTTTCTTACGATCCTTTTGCAATTTGGCTCGCGCACCGCCCTCAGAAGTAGGAGTGCTTGTGAGCCTGTCCTGTTTTGCATTTTGCTCGCGCAACGCCCTCAGAAGTAGGAGTGCTTGTGAGCCTCAACTGTTTTGCTCGCGCGCGGTCCGTTGATGTGTAGCGTGCACGAAGGGGTAATGTGTCTTTCTCGCGGGCTAAGCTCCAACTTACCCCAGGCTATCGCCAGCACTGTGCGCATGTTGTACTCACGACCATCCAGAAACGTGGGCGAATTCTTCGTGAGCACACGTGTGTACGTGAACATCTTGAGTTGGGCGATCGCCGAAGAGCCGCCCACCGGGATTGCACGGAAGCGTAGTTCAGGATAGCTCTCAACCTTTTCAAAACGTTGTGGCATTCGCTGTTTTGCCTCTTGCCAACATCGGATGCCAAGGAGATCTTAGGCAGGGTCCGGCTGCCCCATGCTGCCCCCATGTCTCTCTCTCTCTCTCTCTCTTTCCTCCGCTCAGTTCAGCGAGTCCCGGCATCATTCTTGCCTGCAGGGTTTGACAATGACTTCTTCGGTATCCCGGAGAAGCATGCCTCGTCCTACCCTCCCTGCATCCGCCTTTGTGACTTGGCCCGAGAAATGCAGCACGCTCAGCCTGCTCCTTCTTTGAGTTGAGGCCTCGAGAAATGCTTCGAGTCCTTGCAGCACCAGGGCTACACGAAGGAATCTTTGCAAGGTGCGTAAGGTAGGAGGGTGGAACTGTAGCAGCTGTAATTAATGTTGATGACGCACGACATGATCAGGGCGAGGCCCTTAACGCCCTCAGGCCAAAACCTGCCTCTCTACCTCGCCGACATTGGCCACGAATTTGACCCCTACTTCAGGCGGGAGGGCCTTTAGAGACGCTTTAGCAACGGTCCGGAGTGAGATGTGTTGCGAGATGACTTCACGCGCTGTTCATGCTTACGTGCCGGGCTGGCAGAGGTTCATGGAGGATGCGGACACCTGGGCCAACGCCAGGCAATTGGCCATGCCATCGGCAGGAGGGCCAGCACTGCATCCTTTTCTCACTTTAGGATGCGCGCTAGCCCCCTTCCCCTCGCCAGCAGCTGAAAGAAAGGCAAACCACCCCACAGGACTAATCGCGTACCATCTCAATCTGACGGGGCCGGCCATGAGTGCGCTGGACTTGGAGAGACATTGGTTCCTGAGAAGATGATTTATAAGAACTGCGTCACATTTTGTTTGCTCCACAAGGCCACACAGGTCACAAATCGTGAGCGGGAACTTAGGTCGACACCGCCTGCTCCTCGTCCTTGGTGGGCTCCAACCTGCTCTTCAATTACTTGCGCAAGCGAAAGGTCAAAGGCTCAGCGACGCTCAGAGTCCCAACCTGTCCGGGCTTGGGGCCATTGACTCGAGTGAGGACCCGGCAGTGAAGGAGGCCATCACCGCCTCCATGATGACCTGCCTGTCGCCAGGAGCACAATCCTCCCCACTGAGCAAGTTACACAGCTGTTACGATGTCGTCTTTCGATGTCTTAAGTCCAGGAGGCCAGCTGATCCAATTGGTTGTCTGTCACCCCTTCCTCCTTTCCTCCCTTCCCTCTTTCCCTTTCCTCCTTTCATTGCATTCCTTTCAAGCCCACAATTTGCTGAGGCCACTGACCTTTGTTGGCTTGAGCGGCGCGGGAATGCTGGGACGGACTGGTCGCTGCAAGCCCGCTGCCTAAGAGCCGAGCCATGCCGAGCCATATATGCTCGCTGTGAAGGGCACCCGGGGGGGGGGGGCCTTTCAGGGCTGATCCGCATAAGAGAAGCTCTGAGATCCTTCGACAACACTGCCAACGGCTACGCACGGGGCGAGGCCATCAGCTCCATGGTCTTCAAGGCAAAGCTGCGAAGCACTCTGCCCACTGCTTCGCAGATTCTGGACCAACACGAGAATGAGAGGATCAGAGTGAAATTAGAGCTGTCGGCTATAGGCTGTGCATGAATTTTCGGAGCGCGGCAGGTTGCTGATGATGCCAAGGATGTGGAAGATCGGCTGGGCGTCTTCGTCACTGGCTTTGTGAACCAGGCACTGACATCACTCAAGAGGCACAGAAGGCTGAGTCCCGCGTGAGGCCCCCCCCAAGTTCTGACGAATCGTGGGAAGTGATGCGTGATGCGAAATGAGAAGCGACAGAGATGAGATGCTCACAGGACGGGCGCAGTGCAAGCCTCACAGCTCCGAACGGCCCATCCCAGCAGCTGTGCGTGAAATCCTCGCTGCGCCTGGGAGGCTCAGAAATGGTGCTCAAGTGAGCACGGCAGTTGAGTCAGCACTCTTGAGTGTTTGCACGAAAGCACCTCTAAACGACTCTGAAGTTCTCACTATTTTTTGGAGTCTCCGGTCAGGCTTGCTTCCAGGAGAAATCGCCTGCACGGAGAACCATGGCACCGGTACAGCCTTGGGCGATCCGCACGGCTCTCAGACACTCTGAGAAAGAGTGGTCTGAAATATTCTGAAATCTGAAAGCCCAAATCTTTGATCCTCCGAGGATTGAGGTCGGCTCTGTGCGGGCGGTCTTTTGGCGGGGCCGTGATGTCCCAGTCGTGGTGACCTGAGTATTACTCTGTCAAGGACGCTGCGCTGGACTGCAGTACCACAAGCAACAGGGGGCTGTGCATTTCAGACGTGTGACTCCTTAACACGTGGGTGAGCTGCAAAGGTGGTGACCACTGGCAAGTCCCATCAGGGTCACTCCGAGGCGCCAAGAGAGCCCGAAAATGCCCCCAAAAGCTTTCCATAAGCTTTCCTGTGGGACGGCAGGGGTCAAAGCACTCTTCAGGCGTCCGCGGGCAACTGCGGGATCATGAAGGTCGCAGAGCGCCCGGCATATGCTTGGTTTTGAAGTGCAATACGGGGGCGCTAACAAGGGGGGGTGCTCTACGACTCTACGAGCCTTCGATGGAATCCAGGTCAACACCATCCGCCACTGGACAGCTCCGGCGCAGTGCCACCTCGGGATGCTGAATGCAGCCACCTTACACTTTAATTTACATCACTTTACACTTCTTACGCTTTCCCCCCCCCCCACCCTTTTTAAAAAACTGGCAAAGAGTGCAACGAGTGCAACGAGTGCAACTCCAGGCGCACATCGACGATGCCGGATTCCCCGGGGTTTTTCCAGTGGAGTGCTGCAACCTGAACGGGGACGAGCGTGGAATCATAGGCCAGGGGCCGCTTCGGCTTGCTTTGTTTTTCCTGCGCCGCTTCAATTCAAGGAGGCTTCTTTCTGTTTCGGGTGGGGCCAGTAGGCGTGGCCTGTTCTCAGAGTGAGTTCTTCGCCCGGCCTAGCACTCTCGTATGACCTATGGAGGGGGGGGGAACGGGGGAACTGTAGAGACCCTCCCCAACTTCTGGAGAACCCCAGGCCTCTTCAGCTCCCCCATCTTCACAAGCCGACTCTCAACCCTGATCCCCTGGTCCCCCCACAAAAAATCGCTCAGAAGCCTCCAAGGCTTCGGGGGGGGGGGGGGGCAAGGCGGTCGACGAGCAGCGGTTGCAACTGCTGATGTTTTGCGGGTATTCTGACCAGAGGAAAGGGAGGAACTTAGCACCCAGAATCTCAAATACACCTGAGTAGTTGAAACCTGGTTGCCAGAGAGACTTCATGGCAGGGAAATGAAACCGCCTTTCGGAAACACAGGACAAACCTGCCAACATCACCCAGGCGGTGGAGGGACACCGGGCCCCCCTTCAATTCCTCCACGGAAAGGGGAGCTGTGGACGTAACCAACAGTTGAAGTCCACAAATTGTCAGAACAGTCTTTGCTTCCGCTTGCCTAAGTCTTCTTTCTTTCGTACATCTCGGCTTCAACACTAGGGACACCCAAAATGCTCCACAGAGGTTTGCCAAATCTAGGAGCTGTCTTTTTGAACTTAGGTGTGAAGCCCAGGGTCCTGAGCCTCTGTTTATTTGAAAGCAATGATTCTGGTTGCTGCCGTAAAACGAAGCATCATCAAGAGGCACTGTCGAAATCCAGGCGGGCTGAACTCCTTCGGCTTCGGTGGCACCAACTCGCGTGGCGAGGCAGTGTGCGGGCTCTCCTCTCTCATCTGCCTCATGTTTCATGCGGTCGGTGTGTGTGTGTGTGTGTGTGTGTGTCTTCAAATTTGTGTTCTGACTTCGTCAGATCTGGGCCATGAGCCGCTCCGTTGTACGAAGACGAGCGGACCAGGCGCCCACGGTCTCTTTATGTCTCTTTCTTCGGTTTGCACGAAATCGGTGAGATCAGCAAATGCTCAGCTTGCGGCTTTCCGTATGTTATTTGCACCGCGCGCGATGATGTTGTGTAGGACCTTATGCTGAGTATGTTCGAGGTGCTCCATATGTCATATGTTTTTGTTGGCCGAAGGCGCTTGGCAGCGTACGGAAACAGGAGGCAAGGGGTGTTTGAACATACGAGGGTGCAGGACCAGGAGCATGGGAGAGTGGTGAGAGTCGTACCTGGCACAGGCCAAAGCGCAGCAGATTGCTGTCACGATTCCGTGCGCCGTGTGCCAAACACCCATGTGCTTCCTTTGCGGCTGTGTGCTGCGACTTGGCGATCCAATCGTCCAATCATCCATTCCGCCCCACGTGTCCCCGGAACCTGGAAACTCGACCAACCCAAGGCAAGGTTCCGGGACACATCGCTGTGCAGACATCCGTGAGAATGTGGCCGGTGACTCATGAGACGGGAGACACACGCCTTTCTGGAGACATGTTACAAGTGATACGACCCCACAAGAGAGAGATAAGAGAGACGATGAGACTGTTGGTAAGTGCTCCAGATAAAGCTCGAGGCCTCCTATGATACCTGCAGCAACTGCTACACCGGTACCTTCCACTATCAAGGCCCGTGGGTGCAACGCTTGTGCGCCAAGCTTGACGTAAACAAGGTCAGAAAAAACATTTCCAATTGGTCTTCAATTGTAACCAGGAGCAACAACTTTCTTGTTCGTTCTACTTCGGTAGTCGACGGTATTCCCTTGCAACCCTTGCTGCTTCCCTGTTTCATTGGTTGCCTTCTTCGGCGCCCTTTGACGTTTGAAGCTGCTCTAAAAATCTTCAAAGTCTGCGCTGTGCAGCATTGCCTGCAAAGAATTGGGGGCGTGCTGTAGGTGTCCGACGGGCAATTTCGGGCGGACGTCTGGCATAGCTTGCTTTGAACACGTTCCTCGTGGTGCTCCTTTGTTCTCTCTCCTCGCCCTTCACCCTGACGGCGTAGTTTCACGTGCTCTACATATGCCTTCCCGTGTGCAGACGCTTGCAGGAGCCCTGGCATGAGAGGCCTCGTCGCTCTTCCGCCGTCTTCCGCTACTTTGATGTACCGCGGCCACTTGACTAGGACCATGCGCCGGCTACCTGCCACCTGAGAGCAACTTAATGCCGTGAACATGGTTTCGTGGTGGGCCGTTGTTAACGCACTGGCTTGTGGAGGAAGTAAGCCTGATGCACGGTTTCCGAGCAGGGCCTGTTGTGAGTTGAAGGGCCCCAAGCCTCGAACCTCAAAGAACCTCAGTCCCCATTTGCCATATCTTGCAACCTACAGTGCAACTACCGGGTTCTACAGTGGACCTATCCACTGCGGGCTTTTGTTGCCAAACCCGTGCAAGGCCGCCTCCACCTTGTCAGCATGTTTCACTTCGGTGCTGTTAGAGATGTATCCAGTTCGTACAGAAGGTTCGTACAGGGGTATATATATATATATTTATTTATTTATGCGGTCTTTCTGGTGTTAAAGGGAAATGTTACACTTATGGGGCTAGTCTTCATCGGCTCATTGGTGTTTTCCCGGGGCTCTGCCTGCCCTGTACATTCGAGCCGCCGCCCCTGAAAGAGAGCGCCAGTGTTGGCAGTTGTCGGAGCTTTTGGCGGAGCTGCTTTGGAGCTGGGCGCATGCTCGCGGCTGAAGCGGTCTCAGTGTATGACCCGATGCAGCTGGCCCAATCTGGCTCAAGGCAGGTGCACATCATGAGCCTGCAAGGAGGACGGCGACAGGTCTGGCCAAGTCTAGGCAGCTCGGACACACAACTACTCAGGGCAAAGGCGAACACATGCCAAACGAATGCTAAGCAGCATGACTTTACGAAGTCGATTCTGACCGCAAGAGTCTCCGCGAAGACCGCTTAAGTGGCAAACAGCACTCGTAAGCCTACACGTTCAGGTTTACTGGCGCGCATAAGTCACACAAGTCACACTCCACGGGCTCAGTTCAAGGGAACCGGGGGCATCTGGGGCATCTGGGGCATCTGGGGCATCTGGGGCCTGCCGTGTCAGCACCTGCGCGCCCTCTCTGTTCTTCCAGGAAGCGGGTGGGGTGGGAGAGAGGCTGAAGCGCTACTGTCGGCTCAGTGAATTTCTTTCGGAAGTTTCAAGACCTTGCTAAACCTTGCCCGGGCGCCAGGCGCCATATGCCGCAGCTCTGCCGGTACTTTGCACAGGCTCCGGCGGAGTAACTTTGCGCTGTCTGCTCTCGCTCTCCCTTTCGATCACTCTCTTTCTCTATATAGAACCTCTACAGAGAGTGTATCGCTTCTGCAGGATATGTTTAAAGATATTACACCTGCAACTTACAAGTAAGCACACAAATGTGAAAAGAATCTGCTTTTGAATTCCCTTGCGAGCGGACTTGCTCGCTGAGGGACTAGGGAGCAAGGCATCAGTTGGCCAGTGGCGTAGACTTCACTGAGCCTTTTGCGGCACGTGGCAGGGCCGCTGTGCCTTCGGCAATGCCTGCAATATGTCGCACGGAGACACCAACGGTCAAGCAGGCTACAAGGTGCCCACATGGCATGTTTCAGGCTTTGTTAGGGGGAGTTCATGTCTGTTTTTTTTGGCTGCCAGGCTGCAGAGAATGGCACGTGCCGCACTGAGAAAGTATTTTCAAAGATTGCCAAGCTAACGTACACGTGGAACTGGCCGGAGGTCTAGTGGCAAGGGCTCTGCCAACGGAGCTAACGGGCAGGACTGCAGGGAGGGAATGTTGAAGGGCCGTTGCTGTTGCGCTCCTTTCTGCTGCTACGAAGACGAAACCCGCAATGTCCAACACGATGACCAATGTCTCAACCTCAGGCTGCTCACGCGGCAGGCGCGGCAAGGGTCCTGGTGAGACCTGGAAGTCAGGATGATTGTTTTCGGTGCATGCTGATGCTGAGATACGGTTGGGCCCCGCTCTGGGATGCTCTGAGCAGGTGCGACCGTTTGCCGCCACTTTCTGCAGGGACGCTGCGCCTTCGGTCCGGCCCTTCGAAGGGGCTCGTGGGCTCATGCCCAGAAGAATTCCTCCAAGCAGAAACCAAAACCTGCTTGTGAACTTAGGTGACGCGTGTCGCAACCTCCACACGTCTGCCCCTTCCGCGCCTTCCGTCCCGCGGACTCCGGGAACGGCGCCGGGAACGGCGCCGGGAACGGCTCCGAGAACGGCTCCAACGGCTCCAACGGCTCCATCGGCTCCAATGGCTCGGGCTCCAGCGGCCCCGGGAAGGGCTGAGAGGCCTCGGCCCAGGCAGGGCCTCTCTCAAGCCATCGTTAGCGAACTACTTCTCTGTCTCTCCGTACCTGAGAGTACTGAGAGTCCCTCTCGAAAGGCCCGAAGAGTCCTGCGACTGCGGCATTTGCTTCGAGAATGTGGCTCGACATGCCTCGACAATATGCTGCCGCGTTGCCAGCTGCTCGGACGAACATTCGCTCGAGGTCAAGAAAAGGGGCGAGCGCTTTGGAATGCTAGAAAGTCGTGGCCTCGGCAACTTTTAATTTATTAATTTTATGATGTTGGTTCTGAGAAGTCTGAGGAGGGGTTGCTTTGCTTCAAGGCTGTGACCACGCGTTTTGCCTTAGCTGCATCCGCGGCTGGCGGCGGGAGCGCGAGCAGCAGGTGCAGCCCCAAGCATTGTGCAGTTCTTGTCAGCATTGAGATGTTTCTGTCAGCATCGAAGAGCAGCTCTGCGATCATCTCTGCAAGCATCTGCCAGCCCTGTCACGATGGCATGTTCAATGCCTGGCATGGACGAACATCAGCCATGCATGCAGGACAAGCAGAACCTGCGGCTTTGTCCAGTGTGCCGCAATGACGCTCGGGGCAGCAGTGCGACGTAGGAATTCTGAAGAAACGCGTCTAGAGAGTACTTTGATTCAGAGGTGAGAGCAGTGAGAGCGCTTGCCTTTCGGCTGCTTGTACTTCGTGAGGCAATTTCTGCACAGGCCTCCATTCCCAATGAGAGTTCTGTTGCACGAGGAATCCTTTTACGTCATACCCACGGACTCCATCATCCTCGATCCTGAGGAGAAGCGCCACCTCCTGAGCGTAGAGCATGCCCGGGGGGGGGGGGGAAAAGGGGCGGGGTCACAAGCTGAGCAGCCAAAATGGCGAAAGCAACTGTGCCAAGGACAGGTGATCGATCAGTACAAGCAGGCTCAGTTCAGAGTTCTTCAACGTACTTTTTCACAGTCCACACCGTGTTTCGCAGTCCCAAGTTTGCCGAATACTCAAGCACTCAAGCGGAGCAGAGAACAAGAGCGGAGCGGAGAACAAGAGCGGAGCGGAGGAGATGGGCCGCATCCCTTGCAAGCTCTTCGACTACGGACGAGGCCCCTGTCAAGAAGTCAAGAGGTCGTCGAGAGGATTCGAGAGGGATTCGAGGGATTCGAGAGAGAGAGACAGAGAGAGAGAGAGAGAGAGAGAGTGAGAGATTTGTCGAAGGATGCCCAGGGAAGGGATGTTGAGGGACTTGATTGAAAGTGGACCAACCCAAGGCAGCTGTCCCTTTGGCACCAGCTGCTTCTACGCGCACCTCAACCCGGACGGCCGCGCCCAAAGACAAAGAGGTTTTCGAAAGAAGATCGGTGCAAAAAGCTGGACATGCAGTTGGGGAATCACATTTGGGGCATCCGCCATGGCTTCAGCATGGTGTCCATGTCTCGAGCGTTCTGAGGCACACGATTCATCCCGCCACCGCTGAAGTGGATGAGAGGAGCTGAGGGCCTTGAGCTCGGAGTGTAGATTGTGCGACATTGAGGCATGTATATATGTATATATATATATATGTATGTATATATATATATATATATGCTACCCCCCCCTCATGTACCCACGCTTTGTGCTTGAAATTCTGGAAATTTCGGAAAATCTGGGTTTTTAGGGCTTAGCGTAAAGGAATTCGGGAATAGGATTTATGTTTAGGATTTAGGGGCTCTCCTCTTTTGGAATTAAGGAACCCCCCCTCTTCAGGGATATGGGATCACAATTTGGGGAGTGAAATTAAGGAAATAATCCGAGCTCCTGTTTAATTGGTGGCCCCCCCCCCCCACAATAAGGAAAGCAGGGTTCCGCAATAGTTGGACCATGGCCCCGTATGGTTTCTCTATTAAAAAACAATAAGAACGTATTGAAGCCTTAGCAGAAAAAAAAAGCTTTCCGAAAGGCAGAGTTTCAAAATTTGACAACCCCCCCCAAAAAAAATTTCTTTAAATGTGGAGGGTTTGGCCCATACGAAATCCATCGTAATGGAAAGTAGTCTTCCGGCGGGAATCCGGGCAAAAAAAATTTCTTTAAATATGGGGGGTTAAATTAAACAGGAGCTCGGATTAAGGTTTAGGGAGTAAGATTTGGGGATCAGGCTCTTTAGGATTTAGCACAGAGGACTTGGGAAATAAGATTGTAAAATGCAAGGGCTCTCCTCAATAGGATGTCAGGATGCCCCTCTTCAGGGCTTAGGGAATAACATTAAGGGAATAAATGAATCGAGGGAACAAGATGTAGGGACCCCCGCTCTCTGGGATTTAGGATAAGGATTTGGGAAACAGGATCCTTAAATTCTAAGGAGCCCCGCCCGAATACTTAAGAAGGTGAGCCCCTGAATCCTAAAACGAATCCTATTCCCTAAATCCTTTTCGCGAAACCGTAAAGGCTGGGACCCACATCTTACTCCCTTAATGTTATTCCCGAAGTCCTATTCCCTACAGAGGGGCGTCCTTAAATCTTAAAGAGGAGCATTTTCAAAAAGCCTATCCCCCAAGTCCTTATCCTAAAGCAGGATGCAAGGATGCCTTTTCTTAGGGCTTCAGGAATAACATCAAGAATAAATCGAGGGAACAAGATGTAGGGACCCCGCTCTTTAGGGTTTAGGACTTGGGGAATAGGATCCTCAAGTTCCAAGGAGGAGAGCCCCTAAATCTTGAAAAGGAGAGCCCTGAATCGTAAAGACAAATCCTATTCCCTAAATAATTTTCGCGAAGCCGTAAAAGGTGGATTCTTTTATTTTAATCTTAAAGGGCGGGATCCCGCAATCTTATTCCCATATATTTTCTCTCAAATCCTATTCCCGAACCCTGGAGGGGGTGTCCTTACATCTTAAAGGCAGATCCTATTCACTAATTCGTTCTCGCTGAGCCCTGAAGGGTGGGATACCGAAATCTTCTTCCCCACTCAATCCCGGAATATCTTTCCCTAAGTCCTATTCCCTAAGCCCCAAAGAGGGGTCCGTCCCTAAACACTAAACTTAAGCTAAATCCGAAAGCAAAAGTGATTTTTATTGCCTCATTCTTTTCTTTAAATCTTAAAGGGCGGGATCCCTTAATCGTCCTTACATCTTAAAGGCAGATCCTATTCACTAATTCGTTCTCGCTGAGCACTGAAAGGTGGGATACCGAAATCTTCTTCCCCATCTCAATCCCGGAATATCTTTCCCTAAGTCCTATTCCCCAAGCCCCAAAGAGGGGTCCGTCCCTAAACCCTAAACTTAAGCTAAATCCGAAAGCAAAAATTACTTTTCTTGCCTCATTATTTTCTTCAAATCTTAAAGGGCGGGATCCCTTAATCTTATTCCCTTATATTTACTTTCAAATCCTATTCCCGAACCCTGAAGGGATTCCTTACGTCTTAAAAACAGGTCCTATTCCCTAAATCCTTCTCGCTAACCCCTAAAGGGTGGGATCCCGACATCTTCTTCCCAACCTTATTCCCAGAATGTGTTTCCCAAAGTCCTGTTCTCTAGGCCCCAAGAGGGGTCCGTAAATCGTAAAGAGGAGAGTCCCTAGGAGAGCCCCAAATCCTAAGGATGCACGTCTGCAAGCCTAAACCCTAAACTCTAAACCCTCTAAACCCTAAACCCTAAACTTAAGCCTGAATCCGAAACCCTGAGCCCTACATCGTGGAACTGCGTGTGGGTTAGGGCCTAGAGAGCGGCTTTTCCTTAAGCTAAATCCTGAAGAGCGGGACCCCTAACTCCTGTCCCCGAAATCTTCTTTTCTTAATGCCCTTCGAATCCTAAAGCGCTAAGCCCACAAGGGTGGGATCCCTTTCCCGAAAGCTACTTTCCTTAATGCAGCACGATGACACCGATTCAAAAGATGATATGCATTCAAATGCATTCAAAATGCATTCAACTTGAATGCGCTCTTGGATGCAAGATTCAAGATTCAAGGTGCCCGGAAGAACTTTCCCGGGCATCTTGAATCTTGAATCTTGAACCCAAGAGTGCATTCAAGTTGAATGCGTTTTGAATGCATTTGAATGCGTTTCATCTTGTCTCATCTTGTTCCGGAGCGAAACTTACGTGCTTATGTATACTAAATAAAAGAATATTTCGGGCTCGTCTGATTATATATGTTTTGCTGCATTTGGGGCACGCACCCGATCCCAATAACCCACGCGTTTCTGGGGGGGTACCATATATATATATATACATGCATGGTACGGCATGGTGGGATGTTGTGAGCTGGAGCTGTATGCAACCGTCACTTTCCAAGGCAGCGAGGTGAAGTCGGAAGTGAAGCTCTCCGACTTCTTCGACTGAGGCAGTTTTGGGGCCGGGGCCTCAAGCCTCTGCAAGCTTTCTTTCACACATCGACACATGCTGCCCCCTCTGCCTCTCCGACGCAGGACTTGCCTATGCCCGCTGATCCCGCTCGGACCAGAGCCGGTACCAATCCGGCTCAAACCTGGCCTGGCGAGAGGAGAAAAACAGCCAAGCTTGCCAAGCTACCTCCTTGATCCGCATTCAGCGTTACACACAGGGCAGCAGTTCGGGCGCCCGTTCGAATGGCTGCCGCGAGTGCCGCCGACTGTATGCTTTTTGTCAGGATATAGACTGCTGCTGACAGCTCCTTCGGGGCATTGCTCCATATAGGTTGAAACAGCTTCAAGCGCATTCGGATTGACGATGTAATGAAGCGTTGATTTTATTCTTTCAGTACCTTACAGTACCTTCCAGTGCCTTCCAGTACCTTCCAGTACCTTCCAGTACCTTCCAGTACCTTCCAGTACCTTACAGTACCTTACAGTACCTTACAGTACCTTACAGTACCTTACAGTACCTTACAGGACCTTACAGGACCTTACATTACCTTACAGTGAGCGACATGCGATATGCTGCAGAAATAGCCGGATGGCAGACCTATCTTGGGCACTTGCGTTCGGTGCTGCAGTGGAATGCTGAGATGCATGCTTGCACACTGCAAGTTCACCCGAGAAAAGCTGAGCTCCCGACGCCAGCTCTCAAGGCAAGTGAAAGCGTACACCCCGAAGGGCGCCATTACGCAATTCTTGTAGAGTTGTGAGCTGCCTCCAAACCATGGCTTCTGCGGGGGCCATCATGCGGTACTTCGGCCGGCGCAAGGGCAGCGAAGCGCAGGCGGTTAGCGCATGTCCGATGATGATCTCCCATGTGTGTGGGTGTGCTGCCCTGCTTCTGAGAGGCAGTGAATGAGGCGGAGGTTCGCGAGGCCTCGGCAGCAGGGGTGGGGGTGCCTCCATTTGGCTGTCCGACCGCCCCCCACGCAAGGTCTCTGTCTACAGCTTGAGAAACATGATCCTGAACGCCGAGAAAGTTATGATCGCTCCAGGTTACGGGCTGGCATTTGGGGAATGATGGCCCGTTTCTGCAGTCGATGGTGCAGTTCGTGGATGACGCTGGCACTGCCCCCGGCAGTGCTGCGTCAACGCAACTTCCTCAAAACAACCAACCACAGCCACAGACCAACCCGCAAGAGCACAGTCTTCACTGCATCATGGATCGCATGCAGATGCTACACGACCAGCAACTGCAAACATTCATGCACCTCCACCACCAATCTACACAGCTGATCGGGCACGTCATAAATCAGCAACAGCAGCTGATTCAGCAAAGCGTTTGCGTGCTGCAAAACCAAGAAGCCAACATCCAGCAGCTCCGCCACATGATCCGCCAACTCCTTTGGATGATGACAGGAACCTGGAGCTGAGGTGTTGGTGATGAAGGACATTCTGCAGCAACACCCCTGCTTCACGTGAGCCCGGGTTTGCGGCAAATGGTGAAACCTGGGACCGCTGTCTAGGTTCAGCTTTCGTGAGCGACGATGGCAGAGCACGCAAGGTAAGGGCAGTGTTTCATGCAGCGCACGTTAATTTTTTGCGCCTGTCCCTGTGCCTGTGCTTGTGCCTGTGCTTGTGTTTGTGCTTGTGCTTGTGCTTGTGCTTGCGTGTGCGTGTGCGTGTGCGTGTGAGACTAGCTCAAAGAATGTGGTCATACATTCTTTTTTCAATTTCCTTCAGATCTGTTTGGGCTGCAGCGAGTTCTGAGCGGAGATTATGGTGACTGGTCTGTCCTCTCAGGTCTTGTTTAGGTGTCCATCCCTAGCTGCTTTTCGTTACAGAACGCCTGGCGGCTGCATGTCTTTCGGAAGCACAGTCTGCGTCGGTCAGAGGTTATTCATCTGACAGCTGTTTACTGCATCGATCGCATAATGGCGCCCACATGGTTTTCTCCTTCGGCTGTCGCCAGCTCTGTTCAAGCGCGTGAATAAGACGTACCGAGCACTGCGCGCAGCTTCACCATGCTGCATGATGCTATACCACTCTGCGCCTCGCCACGCAGTCAGCATAACACCAGCCCTCACCAAAGCTTTTGGGACCTTTCGCGACCCGGTAGCCTTGCGGGTCGAAGCTTTGTGTGGAGCTGATCCGGGTCCACCTCGGAACCAACATCCTGCTGCCACTTCCAAAAGCGGTAGCTGGGAGATTGCTTGGTTGTAACTTGTATGTTGGTTTAATTGTGACTTTTGGCTTTTCGGGGCCTGAAATCTTTGCCCCTGCCACGCCTAAACGGAGACAGCCCGAAAAGATGGCATGGTGATAGTGCAGGTGTTGGCCGCAAAGCCTTAAGCTGACGTGGCAAGCCTCGAACTTGAACCCTGAAAGTATGCTGGGCGGCAGCCCCAGACCGTGAAAGTATGTTGGGTGGCAAGCACTGAGCGTAGTGACATCTCACATGTTGAGTGGCAGCCCCTCTCGGACCATAAATGGAGATCTTCTGTAGGAACCTATTACCTTCAGTGTGTTTTGCTTGGGGAGGGTGCTTTTCACAGCTTTTCACTGCTCTTCTCAGCTTTTCCTCATGGGCCATGTTGGGCCGCCTGCAGTGGCCCAGACCGCCGCGCATCCGATGCTATGTCAACACCAAGGCAGGGTCAATGATATGGGAAGAGGGTCGTGTTGCACCTTGCGTTTGCTCTCGTGATCTCTCATGCGTTTTCAGCTCCGCTGTCAGTTGACCCAGCGGCGCCGGGACTTCGAGGAGAAGGCGCCTCTCATGCATTCAGGAGTCTGAGTCCGGCTCTGGCTTCTCCTTCTCTTTGCTTCTCTTCACTTCTCTGCGCAGGCATATCCAAGGGCCTCGACTTTGGAGCCCAGCCGGCTTCCGAGGAAAGGCCGCCGCGGTGGATGGATGCAAAGCCCGCAGAGGTGCGCCGAGAAGCCGAAAGATCTCCTCACCTCTCCCACAAAGAGTGCCCCCAAACAATCCCTGCAGACCCGCTCTTTCAAGGAGTGCCCACCCCCAGAGAATCCGTCCTCAGAGAATTCCTTGAGTGCTCGATGGAGGGCACTTCTCACTTTTTTGCTAGGTGGTTGAACTCGCCACTTCAGAATTCCCAGCCTTCTATGCATTTTTTCGGGTCTGAAATCCTATGACACCCTCTCACTCTCTCTCTCTCCGTTTCTTTCTCTTCCTCTAACTCTCTCTCTCTCTCTCTCTCTCTCTCTCTCGCCCTCATCTCACGCGCTCATTCAGCCGAGGGGGGTAGCCAAGTTGGATGGCACGAATTCTGCACAGCGTGCCTGGTGGGCCGAGCGGGCGGCCTCCATTGATGATACCTTCGTATCGAAGCTGCAGGAGGCAAGGTCGGAAACTGGCGACTTGCAGGACCTCTTGGACAAGCATCTTTCAGAGATGGACGCTCTAAAGGTGGCCATGCCACGGGCAGATGACTTTCGGCTGCCCCACATCAAGCAACTCATCAAGACCCCGAAGCCCAACCCTGTTCACGAGGCAACAGTGGCATCCCCGCCTTTGCAAGCTCCCGACAGCCCTTCACCACCGAGTTTCCTCGCCGAGTCCCTTCTCGAGCGGCGTCAGAAGCGGCGGCGCGGCCGCTTCCTCGGCTCCGACCCCTCTTCCCCCTCTGGCCCCTCCAAGCCGTCGACCTCGGCCGCGCACGTCGAGTCTGAATCTGACGAGGACATGCTCGACTCCTCGGAGTCCGACGAGGAGCTCTCCGAAACCTTGCCCCGTGCGGGTGCTCGTGGGCGACTGTCGCGGCGGGCATCGGAGGCGAAAGGGTTCAAAGCATCCCAAGCCAAAGCCTCGATGGAGCCCGAGCTCGTAGAGCCGGTGGAGCGGGTGGAGCCGATGGAGCCAATGGAGCCAATGGAGCCAATGGAGCCCGTGCGCGCCTGTGAGCTGGCAGAGCTCTGGAGCGGTTTGGGGGCATCCTGGGTGGAGTACAATCAGTGCCTGCTGCCCAGCGTCTTTCCGCAAATCGAGGGAGATGCAACTGGAGCCACTTTGGAGGCCTATCACCACACGCGGCGCTCGGCATCCTTGTTCGACGTCTCCTTCAAGGTTTGTTTCCGGATGACGGGAGCGGACCGGGAGTTTGTCGCAGACCAGTTTCTGACTTGCAGTTTGCGAGCCATGCGGGTCGGCGACGTGCAATATGCCTGCGTCCTCGACAGCAAAGGACTCGTCCTGGACGACGCCTTCGTCTTCATCGAAGAATCTGCCATCAACATCCTGGCTTCCGGCTGGCATGCCAAGCAACTGCTGGAGTATCTGGGCCAGCCGCTTTCCTGCACACCTGCCCCAAGCCATCACAAAGCTAGGAACCTTGTAATCACTATCTCCTCCTCAAAGCTGGCTCATGAGCTGTGAGAAGTGTGACAAGTTAATGACGGGCATGAGTTGGCCTCGTCAGGAAGCATAGCCTAAAGCCTTAAGAGATGCGACAAAAGTTTGTGGCATGAGAGGTACCTAATCTACGTGCGGCGCTCTGGTGCGGACGTGTCGTTTGCGACCCGCCCGGGTGCTGTCCTGGCACTACAGGGTCCCAGGTCTCAGGAGGACGGGTGGGCTGAGTGACCATGTTCCGTATTGAATCACGTAGTCCACGATCAAATTTCAGTAAGAGTCACAGTCTCGTCATTTGCCGACACTTGTGGTGCGCTATCACTCTGCTTGCAGGCGCTGGCGCTGGCGCTCCGTGACTTGGAGCTCTCGGCACTCGGCGAGCAGGCCAGCAGTATCAATGTTGGCCAATAAGCGCCAGAGAAAATGACATAAAGGAACCGCACCTGAACCTTGGCGGTATCTTCTCTGTGACGCAGTCAGGTCGCCTTGGCGCCGGAGATACTGCAGGCCATGCCCTACATGAGTGCCCTGGCCCTGCGATCAAGCTCGGACGGCAAGGGTGTTAAAACAAGCAAGTCTGGGGCAGAGGCAGTCGTGCTGCGGGTGGGCACAACGGGTGAAGACGGGTTTGAGCTCCTGGGCCCATCGCCGCTGCTTCTGGAAGTGGCGACGGCCCTGCTGGCTACACCACTGGTCAGACCTGCTGGTGTCTTTTGCCTGGACATTCTGCGTATGGAGGCTGGGGTTGAAGCTTCTTAGACTGCTTAAGCTGCTTAACTGTTGTGTCTCCGCCCAGGTCTCGTGTAGGTGACCCTGCAAGGCATACACAGGAGTTTGGTGAAACAATCCAATGTACTTCGGGCACCGGCCACACCAACGTTATACTGAACAGGGAGGCGCTACACTTGCCAAGCACAGTACGCACTGCTGCTCATACCGTTGGCTAGATAGATGTGTCTACTCGGCTCTGAATGAATGCTTGTGTCTGCTAGGCAGGCCTCCCTCGCGTCGGCGCCGACATCAGCTCGGGACTCCACACGCCCGTCCGAGCCGCCTTGTCGTGGACACTGGATCAGGCTAAGATGAGGAGCCACTTGATGCTGCGAGCCCGCATCAGCCGCAATCAATCCCACTGGCCCGTGTCTCTCGAGCCCGCTAGAGGTTCGGCTGGCAGAAGCTGTTCTTCCAGCTGGCGAAGGCCATACCACTCCGAAGCAGAATTTGGAGCAAGCTTGGCAAGTTGTTGTTCTGGCACAAGAGCCATACCAAGCCTGCACGGGCACGATTGCTCTTAGCTGTGCCCTCACTTGCAAAATCCCATCGAGGGCCCGACGTTTCGCCGTGTGGGCCTGCTGCTGGATGGTCCTGGGCACGGTGGCTGCCGCCTGCTCTCGAACCCCCATCGCCAGCCCATAGGTGGGGTGCTGAGGCTTAAGCCAGACCGCCAACAAAATCAGTAGAATTTGTAGAGCATGCAGAGAAACATCCGGTGCCATTGGCCTCGGAAGGCTTGGTGACCTCGACGGCATGGAGTCCACATCTCCGGTGCCGAGTGGCGCAGGCCATTTCTTCTCAGAGGAATCGGTTCTCTGAATTTGGGGCAAGTGCCAGCGCACTGAACTTCGTGATTTCGAGGTGAGGGGCCAACAAGCAGGGCGCGTGAGGGACTAGTTGCAGGGACTCTCTTCGATGTGGCTGTGGTCATACATGAGGCGGTGTTTAGGGGTGATGGCCAACGTATTTATTTTCTTGGGCCTGAGCTTTGCAAAAAGTGTTCTATCAACATGTTGACACATTTCTTCTTGATTGATGACCCCAACTCCCGCATAGGGGTTCTTCGTCTGGTAGAACCCCGCAGTTCCATGCACAACGCCGCATAGTAATGCTGCACGATTGGAAGCCGGTGCTGTGGGCCAAAGAGGGGAGCACAGAGTTCCTGCGAGCAACAAGGTGCTTCACCAGCACGAGCTACAGCACAGGCCAACTATTCGTTAACTTGGCCTGCTTGTTACACGATGAGACTCTGTATCCCGGCTAAGCCGGCCTTGACGCTGCTCGATTTTGGAAGCAGTCCACGATTGCGAAACTTACGCGAATGATCAACCCCGCTTCTGACGCGATTCAGAAACTATGCCGTGCCCTGTCGAACGTGCCCAAGACAAGTTGGGTTGGTCGCAGCATGCAGCTGGGTTCAGATACCGGGCCCGATGTCATATCATTTATCATGTCAGACACGGTCTACCGTGCCGCAAGACCTGGAGCCTGGAGGCCTACATACGGCCCGAGTACGCCAAGGCCAACCAGCACGTCCTCCTGACTGTGCCCTACAACCTGCCGGTGAAAAAGATGCGGAAGAGCCTAGGCTCAAAGTCCCAGCAATGTGAATGTTATGCTGACAACGTGTGTTCATGTTTGCACACACGTGCACTTCGCAGCGCCGGACAAACCAGGAAAGCGGTCCGCCACTGGCTCCGGGCCGGTGACCTGCGCAGCGGGTACCGGCGGCTCGTGGCCGCCTGCGTGGTGCCTTTGCCTTTCGTGGCCCGGCGAATTTGAATGCAGTTGCTTTGTGAGGAGCGCGCTCTGTACATGGCGAGGGCTCTCTGCTTGGAGGTCCCGCACCGCTACCCAGAGCCTGCACGGCAGCGCCGCACCGCCGCGCGGCTGCGAAGCCGCACAGCAGAGGACGCTTGGCTGGATGTCTGAAGCGTGGACGCAACACATCTGAAGCCTAGAAACTCTTGCTCCCTTCGGATACGAGTCAAATGAGAAGCGTCTGTTTAAGCCTTTCCAGGAGACCTTGTCCTTTGCAGCCCCGACCGCCGAGCCCTCGAGGGCAACGCCTCGACCACAGAGCACCTCTACAGGCGGCGGAGTTTGCGCGGTTTCGGGGATGGCGGAAGTGGTGTCAGGTTTCGGGGAATTCTAAATACATTTGACGATTTTATCTCCCAATCACACTCCTTGGAACTCCCAAAAGGTTCCCGCGAACCCGAACGCCACCCGGTCAACAGGAGAGCAGCTCCGTGAGAGCTACGAGCATGCTAGCAAGGACAGGCAAAGCGACCTCTCCAATGTGTGAGAAAGCAACAAAAATCAAAGCGATGGAAGTGTGAAGTGTAGGGAAAGGCCCGAGTCTGCTCTTGCGTGGGCATTTGGACAACGCTTGGCTGTGGGCTCAAAATGGCCCCTTTGGCTCAAAGGGTCCTCAAAGGGCCCTAAAGGGCCAAGGCCTCAGGGTATGGCGCAGCGGGACAAGCGCATCTCCGCGCACAAAGGACAGCATCACACTGGGGCGAAGCCTGGCAATGGATCGCTGAATCTCTGCGCCCGACCTTCTTTGCTGGTGCCAGGACGTTCCGATCCTGCCCGGCCGCGTTCGCTTCCAGCATGTCCGCCAAGCCCGCCCTGTTCTCGGGGCTCGGGATTGGGGAGTGTGAGGTCCGCAGCATGCATCACAAATCAGATTCTCAACTCATCACAAGTCTGTGCAGTACTCTGAAGGTCGCCAAAGGCGACGCGATCGAGCTCAACTTGGAGTCGGCGGCCTGAGATGAGACTTGCCACCGCCGAACCTCAAGGATCTCAATCTCGGTTTCAGGACGATGACGGTCGAGCAAGGACTGGAGCTGATCGAGAAGGCTTGGACTCGCAGTGACAGAACATCGCAGATCGACCAAAGACTTGAAGCACAATGCTTTGGTCTGTGTCCTCTTTCGACAGGAGCGGGTGCAGCCCTTGTTGGCATACTTGAGGCAGCTGCTGGGTTGTGCGGCCTCAGGCCAAAAGTCGGATGCAGTTTTTGAAATCGTCAGGACCGGCAAATTCGAGAACAAGACGAACATGACTTTCATGAAGGACGCTGCATCTTCGAATCCTTATGTTGTGCCAATGGGAAAGTTAACCCGGCCCAGCCCTGCTCTTTGAGGCGTACTCGGTCGTTGTACAGTTTGGCGACCAGCAACAGCACTCCTTCAAGCTTTACTCATACTACAAAAAGGCCCAGGGTTTGTTGCCTTTCCGAAATTTCTCTTTCCTCCAAGAGCTTGGAACTTGCAGTTTCGCTTCGCAGGTGATCTCGGACTACTGCAAGGATGCCATGGCACAGCTCCAGCCTCTGGCCGGCGAGGAGCGTCCTTGGTTGCTCTCGAGGTCCCAGCCATTGTGGTCCCATGTGTGGTGCCACTGCATTCTTCCCACTGCTCCAGGGTAGCAAGGAACGAAGACCACAAGCAGCGGACAGCAAAAGGCAGGATAGGAGAAACGGGGACAAAGAAGCTACGAAAAGAAACCAGCACCACACAGACAGGATAGAAGCACAGCAACGTAGAACGCAACTACGTGGAACGACAAACGCCACAGGCAGCAGCCAAAACGAAGAGGAGAAGGGTAAAGACATAAAGCCGCAAGCAGCCAACACAAGCAACATAGAACGGAGATCCCGAGACGTTGTGAGGTTTCAATGCCGAAGACAACTCAACGACATACGAGACGGCCATTGGTGCCCATTTTCATTGTGCTCATAATGTGTACTTGGGACACAGTCGCACCGCTAGTTACAGCAACGGGGCACACAGGAAAACATGCCAAAGCATTGCTCGGATACTGAACGGGCGCTTCGATTCGAGTTATGGGGGAACATTCGCACGAAAAATCATCGTCCCAACTGACAAGAGATAGAATCAGATGGAAGCCTGTACTCGCACCGCCGTAGAGCATTCAAAAGCAAGAGTTTGGTTGAGACATGTGCCCCTCAGTTTGGACAGGACTTGCTCAATGCGCTGGCACAGCTTTGGGACCGGAAGAGGGGGATGAGGAGGGGGGGCGGACTGAGTCGAGAGGGCTCTCTGTCCGTGGCGTTAGGAGAAGAACACCATCCTGGTCTTCTGGATGCAGCGCGTCTTCCAGCCGGCAGCCCTTCCAGTCAAAAGAGTCATGTGTCAAAGGTGTCTCTTGCAAGGTATTTGGACCGGTTCTTCACGAAAAGCAGCACGGACTGACTTGACCTGGCCTTGCGAGAAAGAGTGAGTGAGCGCGAGAGAGAGAAACCGGCTGGTTGGTGACTAGTGTAATCCTGAAAGTGGGATCACGAACTAGACTGCCGAACTGTATGGCCGTCGAGGGGGGCCCCCCTCTAAAGCGTGTAGAAGAAGAAGAAGCAGCAGAAGGAGAAGAAGAAGAAGAAGAAGAAGAAGAAGAAGAAGAAGAAGAAGAAGAAGACCTCGAAAGGCCCATCTCGGGATCGGAAAGCTATCGAACACGGGCTCGCGTTGTGCAAAGTGGACATGCCACGAAGGTCCCTTTGACCACTCCAGTACCCCTGGCCACATGAGCCGATGCCTCGCGTGGTGCTGGGGAGTGGGTTCCTCGGAAGCGGGCCAGTATATAGTCTGGTAAAGAGGGGACGGGAAACATACCTCATCGCCAAGCTGTCTGCCGCAAACTACAGTCCGCGACGACGCAAGGGGGTTCGCTCCCTTGCCCCACGAAAGAAGTAAAGAAGGAAGGAAGGACGGAAGGACGGAAGGAAGGAAGGAAGGAAGGAAGAGAGAGAGAGAGAGAGAGAGAGAGCGAGAAAGGATCCGTACAGCCATTCTGGCTCCAGGCGCAACAGCGAAGAGGCGAGAAGACCTTGAAGCAGATCAGCAAGGAAAGAATGGAAGTATCCGACCAACGCATTGAAGCTCTACATCGCGTGCTGCTGCATGCAACAACAGAGGTTGCAGATCAACGAAAGGCGGATCCCTACTCTACTGCGCATGAAGAAGCACGTCAAGAACCAGCTTGATGCACTTGTTGTGGAGGGGACGCAAAATCGACTGAGAAGGAGCGATGCGGCGATGTGCGGCTGGAATTGCCGCGGCTGACAAAAGCACGCCGTGCACGCACTTGACGACAAAGTCATGTGCAAAGTACGCTGGAAATCATAGGTGTCATAGATGAGGAGCCTCAACTGGAAGATGACGTTTGGTGCATAAGCAGCACGATTCTGAGCAAGCTGCTGGCCGAGCTGTCCGATGAGCGCGTCCCAACAGAACATGTGCGGGGTCGTGAAAGCCACCCCACAAACTTCCAGTCGCCACCGAAAGCGGGGGGCTCACCCCCCAGGCCCCATGAAAGAAAGAAGGATCTGGATCTGACTGAAATAAAGAGATCAGAAAATTTGAGAGTGAGACACAAAGCGAGATTGCAACTCCCGTCGGGGGGGGGGGGGGGGGGGGCAAATGGACCTGTTTCTTTGGAAGTGAGTGTGAAAAAAGTGTGTCGCCGTGGAATGAGAGACGTGAGTTTGCAAGACGCATTCGACACTAGCGTGAAGCGTGATTCCGCGAGGAGTACCCTGAGCTTTTCAAGGCTGCAGTGCAGGCCTTCTCTGAGCCTTGGTGGAGCAGACCCAGACAATCCCTTAGCTATCGGATAACGCAGCTCTTCGAAGCCTAGGAGCACGTTTTCTCCAAGCTCAAGGCCCCGAGTTCACATAGTTTCTGTTATAGTTGTCCATACTTACCATAGCTGTCATGTGCTGTCATGAGTGTGGTCTTCGACTGCTCTCTCTTTCTCTCTCCCCTTTGCTTCCTCTCGCCTTTTGCTTGAAGCCCTTCATAGGCCTCGGTCCTTGAAACTCCCTTCTTTGTCCTTGCTATCTGTGTAGTTCTCTGAGTTGTCTGAGATCTTTGTCGTTTCCGCCGAAGACTCGCCAGGCTCGATGTGTGGATGCGATGGTGGCGCAGGTGAACCGGGAGCGCGACGGAACGGACATCGATCAGGAGGGCACCTGGTGGGCATTACTAGGCTTCATGGCTACCCGCGTACAGTCTATACCTCGATCTCTACGGTGTGCTCACCTAGATCTTGTCCGCACTGAGTCTCTGCACCACCCTTTTGCTTGGCTTTGACATGGATGCAGCGGCTCAAGATGATTTCAAGATGATTTCAAGATGATTTCCTGTGCAATGCAAAAGCATTCGCAGCCCTGCATATTTTCTGAAACAGAAATAAAAGGAGTGCGATGCACACCTTGCACCCTGAAAGACTTGGAGCATCTCGAACAAGTTTCTGCTATTTCGTTTCCTGACTGGCACAGCTGCGATGGACGAGGCCTATGCTGTTGGAACGACCATCACCTGTTGAGTTGCACAGTACTACATTGTACTATATATATATATATAGATATTTCTACACAATATGTCTATGACTATCTATGTGTATGTGCATATGTACATGATCATGCATCCAGTTTAGTATTTTCTCCAGGGCTCAGCAAGCGCACATGTTCTTTGCAAGGCGGCGGACTGCGGGCACCTCTACGGCTTCGGGAACCCCGACGCGAAGCGCTCCAAGCTCCAAGAGATCGTGCAGCAGCGCGAGAAGGCAACGGCTCTCTACAAGCGGGGTCCTTTTGTTCTCAGAAGCTCCAGGGTATGCGGGTGTACTCCTCTAATGCGCCTTTTTGTGCAACGCTTGCTCATGTTTGGCTGGGAGTGTCGACGCCGCGTGGCAGAGGATGTGGCTTTGGCCAAGGGCGAGGTCTCTTCCGAGCAGCTCCTGGAAGCCGCCGAGGCCTTTGTGAAGGAGCACGGGCCGCCGCAGTCTCTGGTGGACCCCTGGGTCGTCACACCTATAGCAATTTTCAGTTCAGGGGGATGAGGGAGGCGAGAGGGGAAGGTCTGGAGTCTAGAGGGGTACGGCATCTACTTGCTGCGGCATCTACTTGGATGTTTTGTTCATGTAGTTTAGCTCAGAGAGGGCAGCGCATGGGCAAGGATTGCATCGACGAGGCAGAGAAGACGCCCTGGGCCCTGGCACTGGCCGCAGAGTTCAAGCGGGCATCGCCATCGAAGGGCGACATCAGCCCGGACCTCGATGCCGCCGAGCAGGCGCCGCCCATGGTGCGTGTTCTTTTCAAGACCAGTGAACACTGATTGCTTTCGATTCCCAAACATCATCCCAGATTGCAGAGGCGCGGACCACAAGCCACCTATGCAAGATGTCAAGCAGGCACTAAGCAGAAGGCTGAAAAAGGAAGCCAATTCATCGCATCCATTCTTGGGAGGGCCTCCCCGTACAATGCTCTTCAGTCAAACGACATCCTAGCATCCGAAATCATAATCAAGCATGGTCGGAAACATGTGCGGCTCTTTACTTTGCGAATGCAAAAGGCAACGCTAATCAACGCTAATTGACTGCACCTAACGGACACCTGCCAAATCGAAACCCCCGTGAGGCAAGCTTTTACCCAAGTCAAAAAAAACAACCTTCAGGGCTTATCAGACCCTCTCAAGCTTTAAGCCTTGGAGGCCTCCAATTGTTTGGAACCGAGAGCTTCCTTACACAGCTGATTTGGTGAATGTTGGGGGGTGGCGCCCAGCAAGAGGCCCTGGTTTACAGCCACCACGGTGCGAGCATCCTGTCGGTGCTGACGGAGCCGAAGTGGTTCAAGGGATCTTTGGCAGACCTCCGTGATGTGCGAGTCAGGCAAGCTGCTGGGGCAAGCTGCCTCTCTCTATCTTGTAGAGTTGCGGATATGTGTCGTTCTTTCTGTTTTTTCTGTGCAAGCCAGGACGCAGGCCTGGGCCGCCAAGGAGGCACGGCGGAGGCCGGCGTGCCTCCGGAAGGATTTCTTGATCGATGTCCCTAGGCTCAAAGTTCAAAGTTCAGGGGATGTGCTTTGCTCTGTGCTGCTGTCTCTTCGAGTAATTTTCGGCTTGCGCATCTGATTGGCTCTGGGCTCAGGAATACCAAGTGCTGGAGGCCGTCGCTCACGGCGCCGACACCGTGCTGCTGATGGTCTCCATCCTCTCTCAGACCAGGCCTGGCCGCACGCCTTCTTGAAGCTGAGCTCGGACTCAGCCCACTCCTCCCCGGCTCGCTCTCTCTCTCTCTCTCTGTACTGATGTGTTTTTCCTGTTGATGATTTCCTTCTTTTAAAGCTTCTTTTCTCGTGGGGAGGCTTCGGGAGCTGCTGAACTGCTGCCGGCAGAGGGGCGTCGAGCCGTTGGTGGAGGTGGTCACGGACCAGGAACTCGAGGCCGGACTCTGGTTCTCCCAACAACTCTCAGACTTTGGGGGCATGCTAATTGTCAACGCTTGCGCGCGCCGCCTCGGCAGAGCATGCAGTATGTGGAGATGACGTCGGAGGCCATTTCGAGGTGCTCCCTCCGCTGGTGTGCAGGGATCCCTAGGGAGGGTCCCAGAAAGTCTCCAGGCGGTCAGGGGTACTGCATTTTAAGGCGCTCCCTCTGTAGGAGCCGACCGGGTGGGGGGGGGGGTGTGCTCACAAAATTCTGCATGGGGCAGGGTTGGGTTAGGGGGTGGGGAAGGAGACCGGATCCGGGTCTGCTTGTTCCAGACGCTTCTCGGCAGGAAGCCGAGGCGAATTTCAGGATGTGCGTTTAAATAGGGAATGTTGGGCATGTAAAGTGTTAGTGGATATGATGCTGGTAGGGTCATGACACATGTGTTACTCGGATAGGTTGGAATCCTTGAAAGACTTGCAGGGAACAGATTGCTATTCACATTGAAGGGATGTTTCATGAGTGATGTTACCACGTCGGCCATGGGCCGCATTGTCAATCACGATCTGGTTTCTGAACGAACCTTGATCTTCAGTGCACCATCACGCGCTGCTTTCTGATGCTCTGAGATGTTTTGAGGTTGCGCTGCGTGCCGGTGCCCGAGTCTTGGGCGTCAACAACCGGAACCTTCACACCTTGGTGTTGGACAAGAATCGCACCGCAGCTATCGCCCAGGACTGTCGGGGCTTTTCTTGGCTTTCCGCACCTTAAGCTCTGCTTAAGTCTGTACTCGCATGTCGCAGGAGCTGGTGCGGCGGGGTGTGGGCATCGGCTCGGACGTGAAGCTTCTTGCCTTGAGTGGCCTCTCCACTGCTGAGGATGTGGCACACTGCAGGGAAATCCGATGCTCCGGGATCCTGGTGGGCGAGGCTCTCATGCGGGCACCCGATCCAGGCTCAGCGACAAAACATTGTGAAGCCGCGTAAAACTCCTCCCTCAGGCTTTCTTTTGCTTTTTCTGGTTACATCTGGTTGCTACTTGATTGGGGTAGTATTGGTATTGGACAAGTCGCTACGAGAGGGGCCCTTGCGGACGCGCAACGACCTCTTTGCATCCTTACGCCCAGGTGCTGCCATCCTTGCCATGATGGCGCCAGGTGGGGCTGGCGCGCTGCCAGTGGCTCCGGGCGCCGTTTTGGTGAAAGTCTGCGGTGTGCGGCGTCAGGAGGACGCAGACTGTGCCGTCGGGGCTGGTGCCAACCTCATCGGCGTGATATTCGCCAAGTCTAAGCGCCAGGCCTCGCAGGAGGAGGCTGGGATTGCTGGGCTGGGATTCTCGTTGCTAGTCAGTATGTCTCGCGCCTGGTCACCCGGTTAATGCCTTTTCGATGTCCTTTTTCATTCTTACTCGATCGTTGTGCACATTGCTCTTGGAACAAGAACTAAGCCTAGCTAAGCGTAGGAATCTCGCATGGAGATCGCATGGAGGCGCAGCGCTTGGTGGCCGCAGTGCGCCGCTTCGGCGAGAGGGGCAGTCGGCTACCACGTCCCGAGTTGCCTGGAGCCGAGTCACCTTCCGCGGCGCTGGCGGCGCGAGCCGTGGCTTTGCGGTCTGCCTGCCAGAGGCCGCTGGTCGTCGGTGTCTTTATGGACCAGCCACTAGAAGAGGTGTCGGGAACCACTGAGGCAACCGGGGTGGATGTAGTGCAGTTGCACGGTGGCGAGGGCCCGGACTTCGTCCGCGATCTGCGGGCTCGTCTGCCAGACACCTGGATCATCAAAGTCGCTCATCTACCTCCCACAGGTAGTGAGGGTGCAACGCCGGCCGAGCTGGAGGAGCGCTTGAATGCACCTTGTTTTGCTGGTTGGGGCAGCACGCAGAGTTCTGGAGGCATATTATGAGCCGTGTCTCAAGCATTTCGGCTCTTTGTTTTTGAGATGACCTCGTGTGTCAGAAATGTTCAACGTGCTCCGATTGAAACCTGGCTGGCCAAGCTGCCCCAAACTTGAAAGTTGTTTGGGCCACGATGCCCCTTTTGGAACCAACTTGAACCTGGATCCGGCCAAAACGCGCCCCCCTCCCCACTGGCACCCAACTTGAAACCTGCATCCGGCCAAATGACAAGTTCGAAGCCTGACCCGGTTCTTGAGTTCTTGAGGGCAGCGAGCTTACCAAATTGAGCATCGCACGGCTCTTTTCGGTTTGACATTCACCCCTGGGCACTAGCGTGGACTTGCTGTCAGACTTGGGCAGGAATTGAAGTATTGCGCAGCAAAATAAACACGCATGACGTCCATCGACAACCATCGGCTCAGGCCAAGGGGGTCGTGTATCCCGAATTTGTTTACCCTCCCTGGCCAACGTTGGTTTCTGACCATCATGTGGGGCGAACGTCTCGCCGCAGGGGAACGCTGGTGCAGTGATGCCGGATTGCGCAACAGAATTTAAGCACCGGGGTGAGTCACACTCCTCATGCAATCATGTCCGAGTTCTGAAAGCAGCCAACTTGTGCCTTGATCTTGCCAGTGTGATTCCATAAGGCGTCTGTCGCAGGAAAGTGCGGTCACAAAGAATTGTCATGCAGTCAATGTGTATGGAAAATACTACTCTTAGAAGCAACAAATAGCAACAACAGCTTGTATTGTGACTGGTTGTGCTATACTGTTCCCACACCGTGAAACGTGTAAGCCGCTAGACGTTGGAACTACGAATTGCTCGCAGGAGCTTCGGCAACGCTTGCTGGGTTTTTGCGAAGTGTGTGATTCCATCTTGCTGGACACGGCCGTGAAGGGCAGCCACTCAGGAGGTACCGGGGCTGCCTTTGACTGGACACTGGCTCGGGTCGCGCAGGAGGAGTGGCAGATTCCTGTGATCGTGGCCGGCGGCCTCACAGATGTAAACGTGGCCGAGCTGGTCACATCCATTGGTCCTTTCGGAGTGGACGTTGCCAGTGGAGTGGAGGACTCTCCTGGCATCAAGAACTGCGAGAAGACCCCACGCTATGTGCGCGAGGCCAAGCGGGCCCGATTTTCCAAGTAAGTCTGAATCAGGTGCCAATTTCGGTGGCCCCCGGCCCGAAAAAAAGGAATCATGGTGACGCCAATTGTGCGCAGCTGGGAGGGTTGCATTCAGCATTTGTAAGTGTTCTTGCAACCGACTGTCTTCAATGTGTTTCTGCACGCTGTGCCTCTTCGCAGTCATCCCGCCCACCTGTGAGAGACTTTCAAGTTTCTTTCCTCATAAGCCCAGTTAGAGCCTTCGCGAAGGATGTCATGCGGCGCCTCGTGGAGATGCTTTGCACGGTCTCGGCCCACGATACGCATGCGCCGGCCATACACGCAGCCTCATCTGACTGAGGTTGGGGACACCGGCCCCAAGGTTGTGAAGCAAAAGGACGGCGCAGACAAGAACGCTGCGGATCGGCTGGTGTGGCAGTCCGGGGCTCAGGACCTTCCTAGCAACTTTGTTGTTGCGAATTGGCTCCCCTCACTTTGTGTGGGGGCTTGTCAGAGGAAAGAGAATTGAGTCCGCTGTCAGGTCACAGGCCCGCGGGGTGTACAAGGCCCGGGCTGGCCCCTGAGTCCCATTCGCTGCTGGAGCCCTGATCCCCACTTCTCTTCAGGCGTTCTTGCACATTGCTTTTAAGTTCGTTGTCTTGTACGCGTTGTCTTTGACATAGGGCCTGAGATAGACTCCCCCTGGAGACCGACTTCGAGAGCAAGCTCCTGACCACCAGCTCTGAGTACTACCGCTCAAAGGTGGCGGGGTGGACAGCAGCGTGCGCCCACGGTTTCCACGGTTACCGGTTGCCTCTTGGACATCGTAGCTGCTCAGTAGCTGCGCAGCATGATGGTCTCTGAGGTACTCATGCCCTCAATTCCTGCTCGAGATTCAGCGCCGGTTGGATGATGAGGTGCTGTGAGTTCGCTGACCATGGCATGCTGTGCCACCTGTTTCTTACACAGGAGAGTCGGCTGAGCCGATACCTCGACTCGACGTCCGAGAAGGATGCGCTTGATTCCTCTACCTCTGAAAGGGGTGCACTTCCCGACACTTCCCCCCGAGAGACTTCTCCTCTTTCTTATTTCTCCCGCTGTTCTCCGGCCCTTGGCTCAACCAGTGTAACATGGTGTATCTAACAGTAAGATACAGCCATGGCTCTGACAGTGTCTGACATGCAGTTGCAGCTCATCCCAAAGTATCCCATGCAAAGAGAGGTTGTCGGCGCAGAGCTGTCGTTTATCCATGCCCTACTTGCAAAGGAAGACCAGATGTCGACAGCATACTGATTGCGGGGCTCAGGTGTTGTAATTGACCACCCCAATCAGCATCCTATGTGGCAAGCTGACGCAAGCGATGTGATTCGTAACTACGCCATGGAGTGCCAGTGCTGGCAAGGATTCTTCAATGCCACTGGGCAGGCAATTGGCGAAGGGCTGCCACAAGAAACGTCAAGATAGGGTACATGCGCTGCAGAAGCTGCATAATCCATATCCGCATATCCGCAGTGACCAAGGAGTCGTCAAGGGAGTCACCGCAGGAGCTCTTTGCACTCCAACGTGGCATAGGCTCTCAGAGACCCAAATGGCTCGCAGAGATTGTGAACAGTCGAGTCTGGAGGCCCTGGAGTGCATGCCGTGCTGGAAGGCCCACAACATTTCGGCAAGATCCCAACATCAGCCAACTTTCCCATTCCGCATGCTTTGCATCGCATATGGAAGGTTGGGTGTCCTTAGTGACTTCAAGCAGTCGAAGACCCAGAGAGGCAGGGGCTTCGCTGACCTCAGTCCTTAATTTCGTCTCTCGTTTCTCAGCTTCTCTGTGCCAACATCGGCAGCATTCGGAAATGAAGGTCTACGCACGGCTCACAGCGGATGCTCTGGCTTTCTACAAGGCCCGCAGCCACATTGCAGAACGGAAGCCTGTGCTGTTGCCTGTGCCTGGACATGCCTGGACTTTGGGGTACGTTAGCGCGGGGTATGGATGGGTGTGGTTTGACTTGGGTTTTGGGTTGCAATGTTGGCATCTTTAAGAAAGGACAAGCCGCAGATGATTCGCGACCCGTCGCTCGCTGAGTTTGAAGATGAGCTGGCCAGGATTCACTTTGAAGCCATCTTTTGCTTGTTGCCCTGGACCCTAAAACCCCGAATTCTTCTCCAACTCTAATTATTCCCGAATGCGTGGCAGAAGGGTTCCCGTCTTAAAAGGTTGGTTCCAGGGGTTCAGGAGGTCATCCAACATCGCGCGTTGTGTGTGCGCAAGCGCGAAGCATCCTCGAAGCGTGCGCGAGTGTCGCGAATCAGTCGCAGTCCGGGGTGCGTCATCCTCGTTTCTGTCGTCGCTTTGGAAGATTCCGCGTGCAAAAGTGCCGACAGTTAGGAGGATGAGGCATGTGGGGTGCGCGTCGTCACTTTTGGAGCAGTGAATGTGCATCAACAGCGCAAACAGTTACGAAGATGAGGCACGAGGATGCGACATGTGGGGTGCGCCATCCCCGTAACTGTCGTCGCTTTTGGAATTCGGGTTGGGGGGCGGTGGGGTGGGGGGTCGGACCAGATATTCTTGGTGTTTGTTTGTGAGACAGAGTAGCAGTGAGAAGATTGGCAGAAGCGCCTGTGTGGGGCGGGAGAGAGAGAGAGACTGAGAGAGGTATAGGGAGGGAGAAAAGGATGTGTCGTCGGTTCGATCTTGCTTGACAGGAACTTTGCTCCAGGACAGCTTCCGATTGTCTTGTATGTGCGCTTGTGCTGTTTCTCGGACGGCTTCCACCCATCTCCACGCCGGGCAATGGTGACTTTGGAGGACGGGTGGATTGCATGCATCATCCGACGAGATGAGAATATGTAGATGTGGATGGTATTTAACGGAAACAACAATGATGAGAAAAGAAGGACAGATGGACAGACAGAAGCGAGAGAGAAAGAGAGAGAGAGAGAGACAGAGACTCAAAGAGATAAAGAGGGATAGACAAAGAGAAAGCGAGAGAGAGACAGCAGAAAAAGAGACAGCTAAATAGGTAGAGATGGATGAGACAGATTACGTCGGAACTCGCGTGGCGCAACCCGGCCGTCTGCATTCGGGTTCCTGGCCCCTATAAGGGTTTCTCCACCCGGCCGTCTGCATTCGGGTTCCTGGCCCATATCAGGGTTTCTCCAACTCCTGCTGACACTCTAAGGGTGCCAACTGCTGCCCCAGAGGGCGCCGCGAGCGACGTCGCACCCGAGGAGGCGGTGTCTTTTGGGATGTAAGGGGCTGATACATATTTATATGCATCTCTTATATTACATTGCACATATTTTGGTATATATATATATATATGACGCCCGGCAAGGGGGTTTAGGAAGCTTAGGGCCCGTTGAGGGTTAACGGAGGATCTGACTTTGCTGATTGCAGCCTTGCTTTCTTGGTCGTCTCTGGTCGTTGACTAGCGACATTCGAGTGTTGTGAGGGGCCAGTGACGAAGGTTTGTGAACGAACTCCTCATCTCCTGAAACAGCTTCAAATCTCTTCCCAACACCTCGTGTGCAGAAGTCAAGCGGTTCTGGTTTTTATGCCCTTAATGCCGTCTGAGACAACCTGCAAGTGGTTTCTTTGTCATCTCTCTTATGCAATAAGAAAAGAAGCAAGCCAGGTCAGATTCTGTCAAGAGTAGAAGCCTATTCAAGACAGCCTTGCATGTGTGCATGCAGGAAGATGACAGTGCTGCATTCGCAGCCCCTTTCCCAGCCAAGCTCAGACCAGTGACAGCAGTTCAAAAGGTCTGTGTGCTAGTGTGGTTGTTAACGGTTCATAAGTCCTCTTCAGCCCGCGCCTGCTTTTGCATGGTAGCGGAGCGGCTCTGACCCAGGGAGCTGCTCGGACAAGGAGGTTGCCTTCGAGGCACCCCTTGCAGCCAGTTGGTTGCGCCCTGCGCACCCCTGGCAGCCTGTGGTCAACACGGGCAAGGGCTGGGGCAAACCCAGCAAAGGAGCCCAGAAGGGCAAGAAAGGACCAGGCCGGTCAAGGTCTGAAAGGCAGGGCCAGAGAGCCCAAGGAGATCGTGGACGAGATCGCCCTGCTGGTGAGCCGGACCAGCAGATCCAGGCAAAGGCAAAGAAGAGGCCGAACAAGAAGAAAAGGAGAGGAGGAAGGTCGGACAAGGCCTTGTTGAGGAGAAGCCACCAAGGCTTTAGCGAAGCAGCAGAGGAGTTAGTGACGAGGACAGCCCAGGCAAAGCCGAAACCAAAGAAGCGGTACAGGCTGAGGATCACCCCGAAGATCGAGAGGTTGAGGGAAGAGTGGCCCCGGCTTAGCTTCAGTGAAAGGACTGCTCGAAAGACAGAACTTCGCAAATCGGGTCTTATCCCGCCTGGGTCCGTTGGAGAACACATCGTCCGGGAGTTTGCGGAGGCTTGCGACACTTGCGACGAGCGAACAAAGAAGCAGCGTGAGCCAACTCTCCTTGCAGCCAGTCGGGCTGTGAAGAGGCAGATCCGTGCGCTTCGTCTGAGGAAAGAGGAGAAGAAGGAAAAGAAGAATAGAAGAAAGAAGCGGCAGCCACTTCTCACCGAGGACGAGGCGGACGACGAAGGCCAGGGTGACGAGGAGTCGGATCCTGACGGTGATCACCGTTCTCTTGGTGGTCGCCATGGAGGCTTTGATCCAGGAGCTCCGGGCACAGTTGCAGCAGTCAGGTGAAGCCATGGCTGCAATGCAACAGCAGATGCTGGTGCAAGGCCAGCAGCTGCAGGAGCTACGGGAAGCTCAGGCCGCCAGTTCAAGTGTGGCCCAGGCACCAGTGAGCCCACCGGCCCAGGTTGCTGCTACAGCGCCGGGTCAGGGAGGTGTCTTTGGGCTGCTCCCCTTGGTGGACACAAGAGGGCTCGGAAAGCCTGAGGTGTTTAAAGGAGATCCAGCAACCTTCAACGACTGGGTCTTCATCCTTCGGAGCTACATGGGGGCGATGGACAGGAGGTACCAAGCCTTACTCCAGAAGGCCGAGTCGTCGGAAATCCAACTTTGGAACCGACTTCTCACTGAGGAGGAGCAAGGGCTGTCGACTCAGCTCTACTACGTCCTGGTGATGCTCTGCAGGGGACGTGCGCTGGACAAGCTGCACAACTGTGGGGACAATGAAGGTGTCGAGGCCTATCGGCAGCTCTACCTGGAGTACAACCCGAAGCTCAACTCCAGATATGTGGGTCTGCTCCTGGAGATCCTGCGCTACAAGTTCGAAGGGGATTTGGTCAGTTGCATCGAGTCCTTTGAGCGCAAGGTGAGGGAGTACGAGAAGCAGTCTGGGAAGGACGTGGACGACGAAACCGTCATCGGGATTGTCATTCTGGGAGTGGAAGACCAGACGGTCAAGGAGCACCTCATTAGGCACTCATCCAGGCTTGACACCTGGAAGAAGATGAGAGCGGAGATCATAGAGATTGCCCGCACGCAGAAGTACTTGCAAAGCACGCCTCAACCGATGGACGTAGGAGGCCTACCAAAGAAGCCGCATAAGGGTTCCCCGAAGGGCGCCAAGGGTGATGGAAAAGGCGACAAGGGCAAGAGCACCGGCAAGGACGCTGGCGGAAAGAAGGGTGGAGACAAAGGAGGCAAGGGCGACAAGAAGAAGGGCCCGTGCTTCTACTGTCAGAAACCCGGCCACACAAAGGCCGAGTGCAGGAAGCGAGCCGCGGACTTGAAAAAGGCCGAGAACAAAGGTAGGACGGCTGCAGCAGCCCCGGAAACCCAAGAGGAGCCCGAAAGTGAAGGCCTAGCAGCCTCAACCTTGTGTGTTGCAACTGTAGCAAACCCTGAAACCCACTGTAGGATCCTTGTAGACACAGGGGCTGGGGGTGGTTTGGCTCCGGTTGGCTTTGACAACAAGGCCGTCGAGGTTGCAGGTGACAGGGTCCGCATGAACACGGTCACGGGAGAAGCCTTGGAATTGGGTAAGTGCAAGACTTCGTCGCTCAAGCATGGGGATGTGCCAGTTGAGTTTAACTACAGGGAAAGCAACAGCGTCCAGTTTCCT